CTTATAAATTACCCAACTTATAAATTACTCAACTTATAAATTACTCAACTTAAGAATTACTCAACTTAAGAATTACACACTCAACTTAAGAAAAAACACTCAACTTAAGAATTACTCAACTTATGAATTACACACTAAACTTGTGAATCACTCAACTGAAGAACTACTCAACTTATGAATTACACAATTACGTAAAAATTACACAACTTAAGATACTCAACTCCATCCTTCTCTCTCGTGGGTTTACCCCGGGTCGTCCGGTTTCCTCTCACTGCTAAAGATCATTACGCGCAAGCGAATTATTGAAATATAATTGACCAAGTTCGAATTATTGAAATAAAATTGACCTAGTTTGTGTCAAATGGACGTTACCCCCCCCATCCCTCCCCCTCTCTCTCTCTCTCTCTCCCTCGCTCTCTCTCTTTCTTAAACGAATGATTATTCACTTAAAGGCTATCGGTTAAATAACATTTGAGTCAATTTTCGTGTATAGTGTAAAAGTCAATTTTCATATATAGTGTAAAAGTCAATTTTCATATATAGTGTAAAAGTCAATTTTAATATATAATTTAGAAATCCATTTTTTATTTCAGTTTAATGGGCTCGTCGCCTTCAAAGACAAATGTTAAACAGATTAACATTACTCCTAAAAGGAATTTGGACCTATCATCCGGACGATCCACCAGTGCCGTAATAACAAGCAACACAGATCCTAAACCAGACCCCATAAACGGTATAAGTGAAACAGGCACTCGCGGAAAGGGCAACTCCACTGATCCCAAGTCACAAGCTGTTACCAAGCAACCGCTAGCGGCAGACAACTCTGTATCTACACCAGTTTCCGGTAGTACGACTAATGCAGAAACAAAACTAGAACCAGTAAAGGGATCCAATATAACGGATGAAAGCAACATTAAAAAATCTACCAAATCACCAGAGGATAAAAACGAACAGTTAACAGGGACAGATAACTCTTCGTCGAAACCTGCTTCTGGTACAAGTATTAACCAATCTGACAATACCGATATGGCCTCAAGAGGTAAAGCTACGACACCATCCAGCAATAAGACTGTGTTTCCCCCTATCAACAAAACACCCGAGTCTAACAAAACAGCAAATGACAAACCCACTAATGACAACAAACCGCCAAATGAGACGAATGTTAGAAATGCCATAAGAGGAAGGTACAATGTTCTACCAGGACCACCAGCGGCACCAGCTCCTGCTATTGACAACGATGATGTGCCACCAGGACCACCACCAGCTCCAAATCGAGCATTACCCGCCCAACCGATTCCTGTTCCAAGGCCAGCAATTCCAATTCGAAAGCCAGAAACTCCAGAAGAAGCCCACGACCGTATCATGGAGGTCTACAAAACTAAATCAGCCGCCAATTTATCGAAATGGGAAGACGATAAACAGGACAGGATGGCCCAGGCTCATCTTATAGACGCTACTAACAGTGTTTTCTTCGGTATGAGAGGCTACTCCGATCAGTGGATTCAAAAACATCGGACTGTCGTCTGTGAATATATCCTTGAAAAAAGGAATATAGTAACTGTTATATGTGAAGCAGCAATGACTGCGAAAAGCAATCAAGAGCTGAACAATTCCTTTACCCAGACGGCATTGCTGGTGATAGTCAATTTGTCAGATCATTCTCGTGAATTGTCCAAAGCAATTTGTGCCATTCCCGGATATATCAAGTTCCTGTATGATATTTTGAACGATAATTCAAAAACGGTAAGTAATATAGACTTCATAAATATGATGAACAATTATTGATAGTGATGCCGTAGATAAATGAAATGGGGTTTAACGTTCTGCACCAACTGGGCTAATGAACATGGGAGTACGTTATACATATATTCCTGAAGCAATGACCCGAGTAATCTCTCTAGCCATTGCTATACTCGGACTGAAAACTTGAGTTGTTGACGGAGTGTGCCCATTCTTATCATCCAATCAAATCTCCCCTGAGAACAATAAAATAAGAGGAATTTTCATGACTGACCGCTTAAAAAAAAACATCCCCAGTGTTCGTTAGTGCTGATTTCAAGCAAATGTTCACCCTTGGATGGCATCGGGAGCAAACATCGATACTAGAGATATAGCATAGATATTTTTGCTGTTCAAAATATTATTTTTTAAATTTAACATGACAGTAGCAAATCTCTCTCATCGTCATCGTTATATTATAACTTTCCCACAGTTCAGTATGTCATATTATTTTACATAATATAGTATACGTGTATCACTTATAGTACACAATTTATTAAATAATACCCATGAAATGTTAACTTAACCTATTAGGATGTTTAAATGGTCTTGCGACTATCTCTTAGTCAAAGGGTTAATCTTTGTAAATTTATCTATAATCCGCTTAAAATATTTAATTTAGTTCCAAGTAAACTTCTGAACTGATGATAAGGTTTGCTTTATATACATGTACGAAAGAAGACATACGGTCAGTATTCTTACTGTGCCAGTCTTTAATAAACGTTTGAACCTTCATCTGCGTATATAATTTAATTGGAACTCTATATTATTTTTAGGTGAGTTAATATTTCGTATTAGTAATAATTTGTATGTATTATTCTTTTGTTATTAAGGTTACTATCTTTATATTAAGCATAGTATGTGAAATGTTATATTGAGATAGAGAGATAGAGAAATGGGGTTTAACGTCCACTCGACACAAACTAGGTCATTTCGGGACTAACATATGGTTTAATTTTATTTCAATAATTCGCTTGCTCATAGGGGTCTTTAGCAGTGGGAAATGAAATGAAATGAAATGAAATGGGGTTTAACGTCCTACTTTTCTGCTCCTAAACTGGGCTAATGAAGACGGGCATACGCCATACAGTGTGCTATGAGGGAAATTTTGCCCGGGCAGCGGCACTATGGCCTACTCTTATATCGAATTCCAACTGCCAAGGGATCTTTTACGTGCACGCCAATGTGTACACGGGACCTCGGTTTTTCGTCCCATCCGAACGACTAGACAGCTGTCCTTGTCAGGCCCTCCGTCCTACATCACTGACAAGGGGAAATCACGCCGGAAAATCTGGATGAACTTTCTCGGCCAATGCAGGGATCGAACACCCGACCTCCAGGCTAGCGAACCAGCGCCTTACCCACTTAGCCACCGTGATCCCCCTTTAGCAGTGGGAGGAAACCGGAGGACCCGGAGAAAACGCACGAGGATGGACAGGCGACGTTATATTGAGAATTACATCACGTGATATATGCAATTTCATACATAGTTATGCACATACGTTTAATATCAAACGTCGCATACAATATGTTATATTAATTCGAACAATGCCAGACGTAAGGCAAAGATATATAACGTCGGTATGGAGTCAAAAGGTCGTATCTGGCATATTTTGCGAAATTCACTCTTCTGAATCCATGAATTATTTATTTGATCAAAAAAGCACATGTCGCTTTTCTATCCAATTTGTTGAAACACAATACGTAACATAAACGCCCCTTTCTTTGATCTGGGTTCTTCGTCGGTTGATTAAATGTATTAAAAGATGGTGAAAATATTGTTCGTCTGCTGTGTGCTCCAAGAGATGATAAAAAGATTTCACGTGCGGCGATTACCCAATGTTTACAATGTATATCCTCATTTATCACACGTGCAGAACGGTTATTACAGTTGTCTAGTCCTTCGGATGAGACGAAAAACCGAGGTCCCGTGTATACATTGAAATGCACGTAAAAGATCCCTTGGCAGTTGGAATTCGATATAAGAGTAGGCGATAGTGCCGCTGCCCGAGCAAAATTTCCCTGATAGCACACTGTATGGCTATGCCCGTCTTCATTAGCCAAGCTTTGGAGCAGAACAGTAGGACGTTAAACCCAATTTCATTTCATTGATCACACAGTTACTTTCTCTGCAATATTCTATTATGGACTAGTTAATTGATTGTAATGCATTTCAAGAAAATGCCCAAATATATAAGTAACTGTTTTAATTCATGACTCTATCTAGTCATAGGCGTACGGGCTCGATGAAAGTTAGGAGAGCAGAACCCGAAATGCCCGAAAAAATTTCAGGTTTACAGACAGTGGCGCCGGCCTTCCTCGAGAGGCGAAGAAGCGGAGCTTACCTTGTATGAACACTCCCCCCCCCCCCTCCCAACAAGAAAATTTTGGAATATTTGATGACTGCAAACATGTTTTCATGCTATTTCAGCCTATGAACAAAGCAATTTCAAAGTGGTCTAATATAGCCTAATTAAGATGGCTGACTCGAATTCCAATCAATCGTTTACAGTCCACGGAAACGGGACCGTTGGAAGAAAATGTTGAAAATTTAATTGCCACAAACCCGTTTTCCTCCTATTCCAGCCTGTGAATACAGCAACTTCAATTTGGTCCAATATAGCCTACCTGGCTGACTCGGAATTCCAAACAACCAAGCAATTCTCTCGGGGTATGTGAGCCTCTCCCTCCCGGAGAAAATTTTGAAAATTTAACCACCGCAAATGCGTTTTCTGCTATTCTAGCCTGTGTAAGCAACTCCAAAGTATCCAAAGGTTTTGTAACCGAAATCCTATTCTGAATTCCAACCATCTAATCAGACTGTTGCAGCTGCATTCATAAATAATAATCGATGCCTGAAAAATGTCGCACAAAGTAGAGTGGCTCCAGACAAAATGTTTTAATCCATAGTCAACTCAGTACAAATTCGTGGTATTCATTTAAATGAAACGTAGAATTAATGTTTTATTAAGGCTCGATGACAGTTAGGGAAGCAAAACTAGAAATGCCCAAAAAAATTTCAGGTTGCAGACAGCGGCGCCGGTTTTCTTCGAGAGGCGAAGAAGCGGAGCTGACCTTGTATGGACCCCTTGTATGGAAAATTTTGGAATATTTGACGGCCGCTGGGGGGGGGGGGGGCTGGCTCGTACGCCTATGTATCTAGTTACTTAATGCCCCTACAAAATTATTAGCTATTTATTATTCTTTTGGGTTTTTTTCAGGCTACCAACGATTACAATATACAGAAATTGTTAATTCGAGTTCTGATGATAATACATAACGTGGCCATGACAGACAGCAATATTCCAATGTTACAAGAGATGAAATTTACTCCTCTTTTACATACCTTCTTGTCCTATACAAACGACACCATACGAATGACGGCCATCTTGGCAATGGCGGATATTATGAAAGAGGATGAGAGTCATTATGTAGAAGCTAATTCGGAAGTTTTGGTTTTTCTGATTAAAATGTTCAGAAGTGCTTTATTTAGCACGTCCAGAACGGCTAGAGATGGACATGGTATGATATGGGGTGTGTTGGAACTAGCTAAAGGTGAGTGGAATAGTTCGTAGGTACACGGTGGCCACGGATCCTGGACAGGGTCCCTACAGAGGGGGTTTCAACATAGTGGGATATATACTATTCAAAAAAAGTAGGGGATATTTGATTTTTAAGTGTTATTAAAGTCACCTAATGAAACTGACGAAGAAACAAATGACAAAATGAAATGAAGTTCACATTCATCGATTTATTCCAAATGATCGTTAGACTAAGTAAGGCACAGACTGACCATTATAAGGGTAAAATGATACCCGGGGTCAAACAGCAAAGTTACCACAGCATCACAACCAAGTCAGTAACGGGTAAATCCTCCTCTGTTTGCCAAACAAGTATTGATCCGACGTGGCATACTCCTAATGAGACGTCTAAGGTCATTTTGGTCCAGATTGTCCCATTCCTGTTGCAACGCAGCAGCAAGTTCTTGGACATTGGCAGGACGTTGTTGACGTGGACGTAACCTCTGTCCAAGCATGTCCCAGACATGCTCGATGTGGGAGAGGTCGGGACTCAGTGCTGGCCAAGGTAATGTGGTGATGTTCTGTTGTTGGAGGTAACCTGTAACGATCCTGGCCCTGTGACATCTTGCGTTGTCATCCTGGAAGATGAAACGGCGGCCATGACGTCGTGCGAACGGCACAACATGGACTGCCAAGATGTTGTCCCGGTAGTACTGGCCTGTAACACGCCCTGCAACAACATGTAAAGCCGTTCTTCCAGCAACAGTGATGCCTCCCCACACCATAACAGAACCACCCCCAAATCGATCATGTCTGATGACGTTAACGTCTTGGAAGCGCTCGTTTCGACGACGCCACACCCTCCTACGTCTGTCCAAAAAATCAACAGTGAACCTTGACTCATCTGAAAACATCACATTGCTCCAGCGTCGATTATCCCAGTGTTGACGATCCCTACACCAACGACGTCTTGCCTGAATGTGATGATCTCTCAAACAAGGGATCACGCGAGGACGTCGGGCGCGAAGGTGACCCCTATGCAGTCGATTCCGAATCGTCTGGCCACTCACTCTCACACCAGTGTCTGTTTGAAGACGAGCGCTGATCTGATTTGCTGTGATGACACGATTTCTCAAGGCCAAGGTACGGATAAATCGATCCTGGGCTTGAGTTGTCGCCCTTGGTCGACCTGAGCGTGGTCTGTCCTGTACAGATTGTGTATCACGGTATTTGGACCATAGCCTGCTTATGACAGACTGAGAAACATTCATCGTCCGCGCCACAACCGCCTGTGTTGTGCCGATCTGTAGCATGCCAAGGGCACGTAACCTTTCATTTTGGGTAAGCCGACGCATATCAAAATTTGTTTTCTGGTCACTAAAACAATTAAACTGATGTTTCCACCCTGGAATTCAATGCCACAATGACTGTAACATTCAAAGTCAGAGTCGTGCAAATCTTGGGTTGGACCCCCATGATGATCCCAAGCATCACATGCATTCCATGCGGTAGCTATTGGTGCGTTTGGGCGTCACATGTAACTGGAAATGTTTCTTCTGTTAGGTTCTATAGTGACCTTTTTCGTAGTCATTTGCATATTTTAGTATTATGCCCCCAAAATCAAATATCCCCTACTTTTTTTGAATAGTATAGTTACTACAGGACACGTGGGTATTTAACATAGTTGGGAAGAGTTACCCACAGGGTAAGAGGACTTTCAACGTACTTGTGTTTTTATTTTTTGTGTTATTTACTGATTCCTCAAATCTTTGTTATGAATTAACACAGTTGGGTTTTTTTTTGTTTTTTATACAAACAATATTTTATTCTCAGAAAAGGATTGAGGAACAGACTAGTCCTATATTACCTCTTTCCTATATAATACAGAAAATATATACAAAATGACTATATAACCAAATTATGATAAAATCAATTGCAATAATATGACAATAAAATGTTCAATCTTTAACATTATCAAATAGGGAGAGACGCCAAAGCATCCAAGGTCGCAAAATGGGTGTGATAATAATGTCACGTTGAATGTACAGATAATTTTATTATTGTTTGTTAAGCTTTTCAACCAACTGAAAATTGGAGAAAAAAACCCACCCGGTGTTAATGATGCGAAAATTCCTATTAGAAATTGTTCGAGTTACATTACAGGAAACCCCTCCGTCGTCGTGGAGAAGCTATCATAGGCCCACGTAGGCACTGCCCCAACCTTGCATCCCAGCATCCTGAAGTCAGAAGGACTAGAAATACCCCCAACCCCGTCCTGCACACACCCAACTTATTACTCTTGCATTCATTTCACAGGCATTGGTCGACTAGCTAGAAATGACGGTAACAAGAAAGTACTAGTAGAAAAGGGTTGCCTCCCGTTGCTTCTAAAATTAGCCAAGTCAACCGACCTGGAAGAACAAAAAGGTTAGTGAACTATTGTTTAATATTAAAGTCTTATTGCGCCATTTTAGCGCAATGGAATCCCTAGAAAACAACCATATTGATCTATGTCTCTCGGTATGTAATGTGGTCGCGCCATTTTGTTGTTCGCGAGCATAATTGATGGGCCTGTTTTAAACCAGATTGAATCCCAGTCGGGACATTATCTAGTGTTGGTATTTAGATTTTGTTTTCTTAATTAAATGTTAAATAATTAATCTGAGTACATATTAGCATGGAGTAGGCGCTTGGGGTTGATATTTCACTGATAAATGAGATATAGGGATTGTAAGTTTTACATTATCTGTGTCTTTCTATTGTATCTTTGCAATATAGATAGCATTGTTAATATGCGGCTTATGTGTTTTGCATCGCTTTCTCTGAAATTACTTGATAGAAGGATTAATGAAAAGAACTGTGACAATGTATAGTCGTTCTGATTGGACGAAAAACCGAGGTCCCGTGTACACATTGGCGTGTACGTAAAAGATCCCTTGGCAGTTGGATAAGAGTAGGCCATATCGCCGCTGTCTGAGCAGAATTTCCCTCACTGAATGGCGTCTCCGTTATCCCAGTCCGGGCAGAACAGTGGGATGTTAAACCCAGTTTCATTTCATTTCAATGAAACGTAGCTTGTCGTCATAAATACATGTCATTTGGGCCGTGAAAAAATTGTCAATTGACTGACAAAGATAGTTAAATATATTTTTAATTCTTTCGTTTTCTTCCATTTCAAGTTTTCAAAATATATAATCACTGTTTTCCTATATCTTCAGAGGCATTAAAATCAATCTGGGCACTAGCTTTTGACGAGACAAACCAAGAACGAATTATTCAGGAACCAGGAATGATACAGTTTCTTGAAACTCAAAACAAAAGTGGCGCTGCCGATACCAAATCTACCTGTTATGGTATTTTATGGACGATGAGATATAAACTACTTCAATCAGATGATTATAAAGAACTGGGTAAGTATTTTAATATTTCCTCAAATAAGATTTAATTGTTTTTCCTCATATAAACCTGTAACGGTAAATCTCTTTGATCTTTGGGGTATATTCTATAACCGGAATAACTTGCGGTCTGAAAGTCGGGTGCGGCTTTGGATATATACAGGGAAATTTGGGGTTATTCTTCTGAAAGTTTTTCTTTAAACCTGTACCGGGTTATTCTTCCAGGGTTATGCTGTGGAAGAAAGACTTCAGAAAAAACCCTCGTCAGAAAAACCTCTGCCTACCGGCCTCGGTTTTTCTTTTTCTCATGTTATTTTCTTCAGTCTTTCTTTTCCCAGCATAACCCCAGTCTCATGATTTATCTTACACATAAATACTTGACTTGATCGTATAGAACACTTAAAGGACTAGTGACAGTCAATTATTTTTTTGAATTATAAGCTATTCTCTCACAGTCTCATATATAACAACTTTTGGTCTTCGAAGGAAGTATTAGTGAGCAGAAATTCCCCGTGTATCTGTTATCCCTCGTCAGTTATATAGAAGGATAACTCGTGTTTTCCTTTTGCGTTCGTCATGTCCCTTTCTTGAAAGCTTCTATCGTAGCAATAATACCTCTGTTAGAATTATGTTTGGAAAGCGTTTAACCAGGTCTATCACATATGTGATAATGACTGACACCAATATTGTCCTTTAACTGTTTGAATTCAGTGATGGGTAGTCAACTCCCTTACAGTATGATTCTGCACACACACACAGATCCATATACTTCGAGAATAGATCTCTGTCCTAACTGGCCGCCATATCCAACAATCAGTATGCTGTTTTGTAATGCTGCTCTACTCCATTTCACATCAGCTGTTACACATAAAAAGACTAAATAAAACTTTCAATTTTATTAAATGGAAGAAGAATAAATACTAAGCGTTTTCGACTAAATTCGTCGATTTATGGCTTAAAATGTCGGTCAACCAGTTTAGTGTCTTTCTCAAGCGGAGCTAATGTAGACAGCCAGCGTAAGTTTGGTATGTCATAGCATATGCCCGTTTTCATTATGCCGGTTGGTGCAGTTCAACTAGAGAGAGAGAGAAATGGGGTTTAACGTCCACTCGACACAAACTAGGTCATTTCGGGACTAACATATGGTTCAATTTGATTTCAATAATCCGCTTGCGCGTAGGGGTCTTTAGCAGTGGGAGGAAACCGGATGACCCGGAGAAAACCCACGAGGTTGGACAAGCCACCCTACTTCTTGTCACGTAATCGAAACCACGCCAGTTGACTCAATGACAGACTTTATAATACAGCGTGCACACGCTAACCATTCAGCCATCCAACCCCCCGCAGTTCGACTACTGGAAGGATGTGTAGATTTTGTAGCCGAACGGTTGGACGTTCAAATCTGATTAAAACACAGAGCCTATTTCGTTTCGTTGTGTATAGTTCAAAATTTAATTTTACTTGTCTTCACTACACTAGGGTCCGGGTGAATTAGCCAATCAAATGGTCTGTTGAGGTGAGTTCTTATCGTATGGCACGCGGAACTGTGGGTAGACATTCGCAGCGATGGAACCAAAAATATTAAAGTAAAAGTTATATTTTCCGAATACTACCCATTACATAATAATATAAACAATTTTCCTCAATTTTCAAGGCGTCCGCCTAACAGCTAAACAGCCCGCATCCCCAACACCAAACAACACAAAAGAAAAAGCAGAGCTGGAAAAATCAGAAAAGGACTTGAAGAGTGCTAAAGGTCACGTGATGATAAGTTATCAGTGGGCCAATCAGGAGATATTGATGAAGATAAGGGACAGAATCAGGGGTCAAGGCGAGAAAGTATGGATGGACATTGATGACATGGAAGGTTCAACTCTACAAGCAATGGCTGAAGCTATAGAAAAGGCTGATGTTGTTTTAATTTGTATGTCTAGAAAGTATAAAGATAGTCCTAACTGTCGGGCAGGTAAAAATCTTTGGTTATTTTAGATTTAAAGATGACCGGAAAAGCTTTCCGTAACTTTCCGCCAATTATAAACAAGCCGTGACGCAATTGTAGTCCTTCCGCACATATTCTAGTCTATATTTCTATGATCAGAAGAAATAAAATTACGTCACGTATTGTTTATTGGTGGAAAGCGACTACTTATGGAGAACACCGAAAATGTTGGAATTTACCTGTATCAGGTAACATTGACATTCGAGACCGTGCCCTACTTATGAAAAGGATATATTGACATAATTCCTTGCATTATTTGAAACAGTTATGTAGCTTTTCCAGTGACCTTTTAATTTTAGTCAAAATAATGCCACCATTTTGCTAGAATTGAAGATTCGCTGTGTTTTATAATATTACTAGGAGCCGCGATGGTTCACTGAGTAAGACACTGACATACTAATCAGGATGACTTCAATCCCGTACAGGATCGAGCACATGCAAGGATGGAACGAGAAAACGAGGGGCACTTCGGCGTGCTATTGAAATAATAATAATAATAATAATTAGAGATGTAATCAGAGGCGGCGTTGCCTGTGTCCTCATAGCAGAATACGAAATGAAATGAAACGGGGTTTAACGTCCTACTGTTCTGCTCCGACAGGGCTAATGAGGAAATTATGCCCGGGCAGCGATAGTATGACCTACTCTTATCTCCAATTCCAACTGCCAGGGGATCTTATCGAATTCCAAATTCCATTTGCCAAGGATCTTTTACGTGCACGCCAATGTATACACGGGTCCTCGGTATTCGTCCCATCCGAATGACTAGACAGGGGAAGCCACGCATGGAGCATGCCGGAATTCATTAACCCAATCGGTGAAATAAAGTATAAAGATAAACCCATCTCATTTTTATAACATAATGTATCAAACCTGTACACTTTCCGTGTGGGTAAAACATGAATTTTATATTTCACGTCATCCTATGTATTGACTACAGAATGAAACGAAATGGGGTTTAACGTCCTACTGTTCTGTTCGGACGGGGCTAATGAAGACGGTTGACTACAAAAACTGACATGTGAATTTAAGAATTACAGAGGTTTAATAGGCTTATCACTAACAATATTTTAAGACACTCAGCAGTTAGACATGTTAAATAATTTCAGAGGCAGAATACACCCTGCAGTTAAATATATTGTAAATAATTTCAGAGCCAGAATATATTCATCGGTTAAATATTTCAAGTAATTTTAGAGGCTGAATATGCTCATCAGATAAATATTTTAAGTAATTTCAGAGGCAGAATATGCGTTTATTAAATATATATTTTGAATAATTTCAGAGGCTGAATATGCTCATCAGTTAAATATTTGGAATAATTTCAGAGACTGAAATATGCTCATCAGTTGTATATTTTGAATAATTGCAGAGGCTGAATATGCTCATCAGTTAAATATTTTGAATAATTTCAGAGACTGAAATATGCTCATCAGTTGTATATTTTGAATAATTTCAGAGGCTGAATATGCTCATCAGTTAAGAAAGAAAGTAATACCTTTAATAATGGAGAAAGGTTATCGACCAGACGGCTGGTTAGGGATGATTCTTGGTGCCAAATTATTTTATGATTTTAGTGGTAAATATCCGTTTGAATCCAAGATAGACGGTTTACTGAGAGAGGTCCACCAGACCATGAATGGTGGTGAAAAAGCAACGACGTTATCAGCTCCGACTAAAACCTACGATGAAGTCGACGGACCTGAAGAGGTAATTGGTCAGATTTAATTTAATGAATATGACTTTAGGGAACATTAATTTGATTTTTTTCCGAGAGAGGACACCGGACGACCCAGAGAAACCCAAGAGGTGGGACAAGTGCCCCTACTGTAATTGCCACGTACAAGTTGAGAATCGAAACCACGCCATTTGACTCAAAGAAAGTCCTTAATATAAAAAGTTCGCTTAGATTCTGAAATTAAACAGACCTCATTACAAGGGCATTCTCTTCCCGAAAAGGGCGCCAGGGTGGGTAATTGGGTAAGACGCTGGCTCGCTAGCCTGGAAGTCACCTGTTCGATTCTTGCATTGGCTGAGAAAGTTCGTCGGGATTTTCCGACGTGGTTTCCTCTTGTCAGTGGTGCAGGGTGAAAGGTCTGACAAGGACTGCTGTCTAGTCGTTCGGATGAGATGAATAACCGAGGCCCGGTGTATACATCGGCGTACACGTAAAAGATCCCTTGGCATTTGAAATTCGATATAAGAGTAATCTATAGTGCCGCTGCCCGGGCCACATTACCCTCATAGCACACTGTATGGCTCATTTGCCAAGTCGGAGCAGAACAGTAGGACGTTAAACCCCAGTTCATTTCATTTTGCTTCTCGAATATGTTTAATTAATGGAAGAATGACTCGATGCGGGGAAACTAACCTGGTATGTGTGACACAGTTTAGTGCCTTGACCCTTAGTCTGACCAAGTATCAAAAGATTTGGATTGTAACCCCAGGTGCTATGAAGGAAACACAGCCCGGAATCTTCACCGAATTTGAGCTGTCATGGGTTATTTTAGGTGTATGGCAACTAGGATTTTCGTCCCATCCGAACAACCTTGAAAAATTGAAGGGTCTGGATTTTTTTTTGATACCTGTATGTATATGTCGATTGACTTTTTAATCATTACAGGCCATTGTTCCAGAACGACGAGAACCTTTATATACTGCTGCTAGAGCACCACCTCCCAAACTCAGTGAAGTCAAAAACTGGAATCCAAAACAAGTGAAATACTGGTTAACTAAACATAAATTATCTGGGTGAGTGAAGAAAACCCCTGATTAAAGAAGTGATAAACCCTTTATCCCTTTAGAACAAAATTCTTGAGATAATTCATCAAATTTGGAGAAGTTCTAGGTCAAAGGGTCTCATACTGTCTGTTGATGGATGCATAAGCAGGGTACTCATCTCTGCATAATGGGGAAATGAATGCAATGAAATGAAATGAATGGGGTTTAACGTCCCACTGTTCTGCTCATTGGCTAAAGAAGACGAGCCGTAACGCCCGGGGAACTATATTTCATAAGGGAATAACCAAATCGGTTCCTGCAACTAATTGTTTTAAGTAAGGAAATACCTATTTTATCGCGGGGCCAGTGTCTGACGACTCATCCAATTCGTCGGGCGTTTTCCTGTTTAAATTCAGGTTCGCTCAAGTCAGAATGCAAAGAGCATAGACGTGGTTTCCTCAACAGGATTGTCCAGTTATTAGTACTAGTATATAGTTTCTGATTATATTGTGGAACTCTTATATCTGAAGATACCAAAACATGATTTTGAAAAATACACCACTTGTATTGTAGGGATCAAGGACACAACGTGAAGTCAAAGTGAAATAGGATCCGTGTTTTAATCAGATTGGAATTATGATTCTTTGTATGATTTAAAGTAAAAGACATAGGTTCATAAATGAACGGTATCAGGCTACCAGTGTCAAGCCTTCAATAATTTCTATGTTATGATCATGATTTCAGTGCTAGAGTAGAAAAATTAACTGGTAAAGAAGTCGCCTTTCTTCAGAAGCTGCAATCAACGGTGGGTGTTAAATTGTGTTATGTTTATCTTTTGGGGATGCTTTAATTTCTTACCATCCAGGATAATGAGGACGAGCTTACGTCGTAGCGGGTGCTGTATATGGGGGAAATGTTGAACGAACAGCGATGCCGTGGCCAAGTTCGAACAGTCCCGGGTTCATGAACATGTCTATTGTTGGGGAAATGATATATCAAGCTTTACTTTAAATTTCATCTTTTTTCTTTTTTCTTTTCAGTGTTTCACAGTCTGTGTTATACCAGACTGAATTGTAGGATAGAAAAAGATTAATATAAAATGAAATGGGGTTTACCGTTCTACTGTCTGCCCCGACTGGGAAAATGATTAGGGAAATGCGCCTTGCATTATACTATGGGGAAATGTTGCCCAGGCAGCGACATAATGTCCAATACATGTACTCTTATTTCAAATTCTAAAAGTCACGAGTTCTTTTACGTGCACGCCAAAGTGTAAACGGGTAGTCTTTATTTCATCCGACCCGGGAGACCAAACACCCTTTCTTGTCAAGAACACCAACCTGCACCATTGATAATGGGAAACAACTGATATAATAATAATTAAACACGAGCTCTTGAATGGATTAAAAAAAAACTTCTTAATACTGTTTGACTTATATAATACAATAAAATTAACAACAAAGTGTATCACTCGCCATATTGTTTTGACTCGTTGAACACATTTCATCTGCTGTCATCTCACAATACTCACTAGTTCTAACACTTCCCGTCGTTTTTATTGCCTACGAGACTCTCTATGTGATCAGTATACAGCTTCCAATGAAATTACATTTGTCATTTAAAAGTTATTAATTACAAATCAAACTTTGCAATTAATACCTTCGTCGGACCGTAAGTAACACCATAATCCGTTGAAGTGCCCGTGACATTAAACACAACAGGAATAATAATTCAAATGCAAATCTTTTTTTTTTCAGGCGCCGGAATTTTATTATCAGACATTAAAGTCAGATGTTGGTTTAAAGAATTTGACAGAAATGGCGAATTTTGAAGCCGCCATGGACGAACTACCGTAAAAGATATCTCTGGTTGACTAAAATTATCGAACTGAACTGGACACTAGGGTGCTGCTGTGGACAAACTACTGTGATATTTACCATAGCAACTTGCCGTTAAATCATTCTACCAGATATTACTTTACTTTACAACAAAGTTAATTCACATACCAGAAACAATAATCACATCCGCTATCTGTGACACAATCTGATTAAAACACAGTTCCTATTTCGTTTTGTATTTTAGGGTTTAAAATTCAGTTTTATTTGTCTTCACTTCATTAGCACCTGGAAGAGGTATTAAATAACCCGCACTCTGTGTAATGTGGGGGATTAGCCAATCTGATCGGTTGGGCCAACATTCTCAGAAATGAGAGAGAGAGAGAGAGAGAGAGAGAGAGAGAAACGGGGTTTAACGTCCACTCCACTCAAACTATATAATTTCGGGACTAACATATGGTTTTAATTTTATTTCAATAATTCGCTTGCGCGTAGGGGTCTTTAGCAGTGGGAGGAAACCGGGGGACCCGGAGAAAACCCACGAGGTTGGACAAGCGACCCTACTCCTTGTCACGTGCAACCGGGGAATCGAAACCACGCCAGTTGACTCAATTACAGACTTTATGATACAGCGCGCACCTGTTAACCATTTGGCCATCCATCCCCCCATCTCAGCAATGGAAAACAAATCAAAGCAAAAGTTATATTTCCGAATGCCCACTTGAGATGGTTGCTCAAAAACCGCTCGTATGACCCCTGACACGACCTCCCAGTACAACTGGTCAGATCGTCATGTAGTAGAGGCCATCGAAAGTATAAATAACGAAACGAAATCTAGATTTGTATTTTAATCAGCTTGTTTGTAGCATATATCAATCATAGAAAGCGGAATATCATGTGATGGTAACGTTTTAAACATGATATTATAATAAGCCCATTGGACACAAATGCTCTTCAGTTTAAAAAATTTACCCTTTGCAGACCCCCAGAACCCCATTTTGACTTGCTTCGTCCCCCCCATCCACCTGATTTAATGATAGAATAGGCTAGGATGTATATTTGCGTATCCCACATTGCCATATTTGTATATTGCATGTTTTGATAAGAACTTTTTGTGGTTTCAGGGTATCACGTTGAGATTATATAAATGTTTGCTCAAATTTCTATGTTCGTACACATTAAGGTCGGATTAAACTCGCGTGGGACCCTGACTGAAAATACCAACAGGGCCTCTTGCATTAACAGTGAAAAGGGGGCATATTCTGATCATGGACCATCTTACTTCCACAAATGCCATTTGTATGTCAGTATGATAGATTTATTTGGCACAAATATATACAACATAATAAATAACATATTTATCTATATTGTAAAGTGAACAGCGCAGTGGAAGGGGCGCTATATAAATGCAAAGTAATAATAATACTTTATTTAAACATTATGCAAGAGCTAAATCTTCCTATTGGCAGTCTTTCTTTAGGCCTGAAATGTTATATAAATTATTGATTAGACATTATCATTATTAGACATTAATAAACTTATCCAGACCATAATCAACTCTGGATGGCATCTTATCTTTCCGATTTTCATTGGATTTGAATCCGATCTGCCGTTCAAAGCGCATTGATAATTAAACGCAAAAATGGATAATCAAGAGTTTGTTAATTATCGTGACAACGGAAACAGTGACAATCGAGACTACAGTGATTTTAAAATAAGATTTTCTCGGCTTAAAGTGAAGCAATTTGACTGGAATGTTCAGCATGTTCCCTTTACGTTATCTGGTTTTTAACTATTATAATGAAATATGCCAGCCCCTTATCAAATCTTACATAATTCTCCTTTAAGATATAAATGTATCTTTACGGTACAGTTGTTTTTTTAAACCTAATTGGGGCCCCTTTGATATTGGGGTCCCTGGATGTAGTCCCGGTCAGTCAGAACCCCCTTTAATCCGACCTTCAATACACCTATATATAGATTAGTCTAGACATATATGTCCATGTAACTGTTCTACATCTTCAATTCTGTCTGTTTATTTCTGTAGATAATAGTTATTCACATCCGTATATGCATTTTTCATCTTTCGTGTAAATTTTATTTCGTCCATAAATTACCCGCCGTCCATAAATTACCCGAATTCAACCTAGATTGTTTTTAGGGATATTTTGAAAAGTGCATAAATATTGGATATTATGGTTTTTATATATGTCGACCAGTGCTATGTTATTTAGTAAATGTATATATATATATATATATATATTCCAAACGAGCACACAATAATGTAATAGCATACATGTATGTGCCAAATATTTTTCTTATCTCAGTCAAATAGATATTTGCACAATAACTACGCAGTTGTACTGGTCCGGATCCGGGTTTTGATTATAACTGGTGTAATGTTTCTGTTGATGTACTGGTCCCAGTCCGTGTTTAGGTTACAACTGATGTAATGTTTCAACTATCTTAAACCATTCTGCTGATGTCGCCTTAAACGGATAGAGTAAAAACAAAAACACATACTTATTGAAAACAGCCACTCGTATACGACGTTACGAGGTGTATTGTCTTTAAAGATATCAAGCTAACACGGAAATACAGATATGGGGCAAATATATAGACAAACGTCGCTTTTTAATAATGCACTAGTAACTATTTCCATAAATATGTGTTTTCATTAGCTGTTTAAAAACCAATCTGATTAAAACACAGATCCTATTTCGTTTTTTATAGTTCAAAATTTCGTTTTACTTGTCTTTACTACACTGGGATCTGGAAAAGTTGTTATATTACTGGCGTTCTGGTTGAAGTGAGGGATTAGCCAATGAAACGGTCTGTTACGGCGAGTTCTTGGCGTGCGATGCACGAAACTCTGGGTATACCACTAGAAACGTCAACGCTAGTTGATTAATCAATGTCTGACGTCATAGGGTCAAAAGTCGCTCATAAGGCCACTGACTCGACCATCCAGTACAACCAGTCAGATCTTCATGTAGTGTAGGCAGTATATAAAAAAAACGAAAGAAATATAGATTTGTATTTTAATCAGATTGTTAAAAAAACTGACTACAATCAAAACTATTTTTAGATCAGGGTAATGTGATAATATTTATTATATTTTTTGTTGCTGATTATAATTAATAAAATATATTTTATTGTTATTTATGGTGTTTTTATTTCACGCTCTATTCTCCGTTGTTGGAGTCGGGTGGGGTGGGGGCAAATCAAGAGACAATGTATAGTCTTTCGGATGAGGCGAAAACCGAGGTCCCTTGAACGCAATAGACATTAAACCCCATTTCATTTTATTTCATTACCGTTGTCGGAGCCGCTGTTATTGTAAGTAATACAATACGTTGCCTCGTTAACCTTGAGGGAACTAATTACGTCATTTCGCTTTGGCGTAGGGTCTTTAGCAGAAAACTGGAACACTCGAAGAAAACCCATAAGGTTGGATAGGCGACCCTAAGTCAAATTCTGCGCCGAACCTTCAACCGCATGACCATATGTCTTTTCCAAGCGCTAACGGTATAGCAACCAAACTTAGACTTGCACGAATAGGACTCTATTTAAAGAACGAGGTACTCTTACATGGGATCAATAATAATAATAATAATAATAATAATGTCCATATTTGAGCACTAAAGGGTAGCCAAAATAAGTTCTACTCGCGGTTGACCCATATTCCTGAAGCACTGGTCCGAGAAATCCATCTCTGGCCATTGCTGGATTGGTTTCAGATATTTGAGCTTTTGAGGGAGTGTGTCTATTCTTCCCGTTCAATCAAATCTCTCTAACGTGACAACCGTTCGTTTAATCTGGGGGTCTTCCCTAATACTTTTGACAGTGATTTTTAGTATTAAAAACGGTGAAAGTATTGTTCGTCTCCAAACAGTATTGTTTACATTGCATTCGTTTTGATAGCCTCGTTTGTCACGCAATTAGTATTTCTGCAACATTCTGCTATGCACTGGTTAACTGGGCATAATAAAACCGCGAGTCATGGCGTAACGTTATGCAAACATATTTGGTCCAATTTGGCGCCTTGTTTAAAGTGTTAAGTGGGATTTGGTCTAATCAAACGAAACTATAGGAGTATGTGGGTGGCCCGGCGCTGTACGGGTTCTGCCTATAACTTCGAACCGGAAGTCGTAGCTCAACGCCATCTGGTCCATGTTACTCCGCTTTCCGAGCTACCTTTATACACCAAATGAGAGAGAGAGAGAAATTGGGCCCCTCGACCAAAACTGTCCTGATATTCACCGATACACCGAGGAAAGTGTGCTAATAAATACTACATACTTTCATTGTTCAAGAATGTGGACAATAATTCATTCACGTCAGTCGACAATGCATGTACAAAATCTATACATGCTATATATAACGGTAACACACAATAAATATGTTTACATGAATTACTTTCAATGGGCTCCTTAAATAATATGAGAAAGTGAAAGTAGACCAGCTTTCTTTTGATAACATTTCTAGAATTATATTATCAATTCACATAATTATTTTCTTAGCAACCCGGTAAATATGTTTACATGAATTACTTTCAATGGGCTCCTTAAATAATATGAGAAAGTGAAAGTAGACCAGCTTTCTTTTGATAACATTCCTAGAATTATATTATCAATTCACATAATTATTTTCTTAGCAACCCGGTAACTTTCGGTAACACAACACCAAGATTTATTGCTGTATAGACACTTGAGGTATGTTTTTCTCATTTTGTATTCAAACACTCGTTTTTATAAATGTAATTGATATTGAACGATTGGTAATAGACGATAAAACGTGTGTTATTTAACTGATGGTTGATTTTAGTGTCTAGGACAAATCTATGTTGTAGTTCTTTCCTCACAATAACGGGGATATTTATTCAGCTATTTAGATTATTTGATCCAAGAGTACGTAAAGTCCTTTTCATCCGTGCGTAGGTAGGGGCTAGGGTGAATCCGTGGTGTCGCTAATGTGATTCTTACACCAACGCAGCATGTATGTTAGAACAGTTAGCTGATGTAATTATAGCGTCATCCTGTCATCACGCATGCGACATAACAAGTCGTTTTGTTCGTCAGTTGCCGCAATTACTGCGATTGTGGATATGTCACAACTCACAACGGATACGCATAGAAATGTAAATATGTATATATTTCTCTGACGTTACTATGTGCGCCACCTTTGGGGTAACGCGGATTTTGGCATCATTTATATAATATCTCTTGGCTGTGCATCTTCGATCATTCTGATTAAAACACAGATCTTATTCCGTTTCGTTTTTTATAGATCGAAATTTAGTTTACGTAACTTCACTACACCAGGATCCGGAAGTGTTGTTAAACAACCAGCCTTCTGGGTGATGTGAAAGATTAGCCAATCAAATTGCCTCTTACACGAACTTCGTATCGGATTAACTCAGGTAAATTGTCGATGTTGATAATCGTGCAACAATGGAACTCTACCAGAAGTATGACCTCGAAGAATCACGAGGTCGTGAAAAGGTATGTTATTTTATTCATAAATAAATGGGTTAAACTTATGTTTTAGATAATGTTTTAATTATGGTATTGGAGAACAGGCATTGCTTGAAAAGAGTAGGGCGACCTACCTATAACCTCGTGGATGTCTTCCATGTTCTGAGGTTTCCTCCACTGCTAAATACAGACCATATGTTAATCCCGAACTGGAATTGTTTGCGTTAAGTATACATGCCAACTGACTGTGATTCCCGTCATATCCGGGTTAAACAACATTCATGGACATAGTCTCTATCATCCAGACAAATATTCTACGAACGTTGAAGACTAGGGGGTTCTGGGTGACCGAGACTATCATGGACACAATCGATCAAAGGCCTGAAAATCGAGACCTTGTTTATTACCATGGCCATGGTACTTGACAATCGAGAACACGAATCGCCAATTGGCCATTCATGATATTTTTTGTGAATAAAAGAATATTGACATTGTCAATATATCCATTTTTCATTATCTAGTTTTGAACTAATATAGTAAAAACGGTCAATTTTTTTTTAAATCTTAAATAACCCCTATTTAATTTGAATAAGACGTTTTTCAGTATTGGTCATTTGAAATGAATCTGAAAATACTACTTAGTTTATTAAAAAATATCCCATTGTTTCTACTTTTATTACCCAGATTCTGGAACATTTGTAGTTACCGTTGACTCTGATCTTCTAATTGTTCAGATGAGGCAAAAATTCGAAATAATATCGATGTTGATTCTGTGTATAAATGCCTTCTTAATAATTTAGATAACATTTGAGGCCAAAGGAGAGACCTGCAATAGGCTGTTTAAGTTCTTACATAATTCATTTTCAATTTTATAAAGGAACAAAAAAAGGAAAGAGAATGGATACAAGACAGTGTTAATTTGAAATGTACCAAGAATGTTGATAAACCTACTAAAATCTTGAGACGGTAAGATTTATTGTTTGTTCAAATGATTAGAATGGTGTTGGATTTAGATGAAAAGAAGACCTGCATCATCGACTTCGCCCGGCATTACCATGTTCAACAATCAAGTAACATATCGCTTCTATCGATACACATACTCCTCGCAGTGTTTCGTTTGATTAGACCTAATCCCACTTAACACGGCTGTAAAGGAAGCAAATTTCTGTTCCAAATTATGACTGGTCAATAGTCCGATTAACAACCAATAGCTAACTGCGTAACGATATCTTTACGATTTAAACAGAGTTCCAAATTGGACCAAATATGTTTACATAACGTTACGTCATGATTTTATTATGCCCAATTAACCAGTTCATAGTCGGATATTGCAAAAAAAAACCCAACCTAATTGCTTGACAGACGAGGCTATCAAAACAAATACAATGTAAACAATACAGTTTGGAGACGAACAATACTTTCACCGTTTTTAATACCTGAAATCACTGTCCAAAGTTTTAAGGAAGACCCCAGACTAAACGAAGTGCTGTCATGTTGCTGTACTTGAAATACATTTGATTGAACGGAAAGAATAGACACACTCCCTCAAAACAACCCATTCTTATGTTTTCGTATGTTTTCTTTTAAGCCCGACATGTGCGAACTGTGGCCAAACTAGACACACAGACGTCGTCGATTTTAAATGTAATGCTTTTGGTGAAATTGAATTTAAGAAGAATGACCAAAACACGGCTAAGGTTAGAATCTTTATTGTGCTATAGTAATGCTTTTTATTTCAATAGACTTTGGCAGATTCATTTCTTTCGCCAACGTAGGAATCCTTTCTGTGCAGCGGAGGGACAGGAGGGGGGGGGCGAATTTTTAGCACGTGCGCACTATATCATAAGGTCTGTCATTGAGTCAACTTGCGTGGTTTCGATTCCCTGGTTGTACGTGACAAGGAGTAGCGTCATCTGTCCAACCTCGTAGGTTTTTCTCCGGGTCCTCCGGTTTCCTCCCACTGCTAAAGACCCCTACGTGTAAGAGATTATTGAAATAAAATTGGACCATGTGTTAGTCCCGAAATGACTTAGTTTGTGTCGAGAGGACGTTAAACCCCATCTCTCTCTTTCTCTCTCTCTCTCTCTCTCTCTCTCGCAGATTTACTTTTGTTTGTCGGGGAGAATTTTCGTAGTCTTGTTTTAAAAAAAATGAATTTAATTTGCAGTATGTTAGAGTTTGTGACACCAGTAACCTGGACCATTTATTGTTTAACATTTGGAAAGTAGACCGACCACAGTTACTGATATCTGTAATAGGTGGATCAGCAACTCTTCAAATGGGTGTGGAAGATAAAAAATTCTTTTGTGATAATTTAAAAAAACTGGTCGATTTAACAGGTAGGTTTACGTATAGATTTAATACTTTAAAGTCGTTTGGAAGTCGTTTGCACCTGGTTTTTAGATCAGCCATGTTTAATTATTAATTCCGCATTGACTTATGGGATAGGCTTTGCTTTGTAATTTGTTCATCAACCTTCGCATTACAAATAGCACTCGAAACGGACAGTGGGAACTGATTAAAAATATCAGGAGGCCATATCTGATAGAACTGGTTTAAAGCACATTCCAAATATTATAATGGATATCTTTGCTACAGATGATAAGTAATCATGATTTGAAGTATCGAGAAGTGACTATAAAAATGGAAAAACGGGTTATCCTTAAAGGCTTTAACATGCATTATGCAAGAGCTAAATCTGCCTATTGCAGGTCTTTCTTTAGTCATGAAATGCTATATAAACTATTAATTAGACATTTATTAACAAAACAAGAGCATATCGACTCTCGATAGCTTCGGATACCCGAGATTTTAACTAGATTGAAACGGTTCGCCATTTAAAAATTTGATTTAAAAATGGGAAAGCTAGGCAAAGTCCCGATTATACCAGTGCCTGGTTACCACTGTGCACACATCTTGTCAAAACTACAAACAATGATAACTTGGCTGAGAATGAAGTACATGTAATATAATTTGAATGACATTTTCAACATTTTATTAAACTCTTAACTAATGTATATTTAAGTAGAGATAACATATTATTGGAATGTGTTTATGGGTTCTATCATACGGGTATGTAATATTGGTGCCCGTTAAAGGACAATATTGGTGTCAGTCATTATCACATATGTGACAGAACTGGTTAAACACGTTCCAAATATAATTTTAACACATAAACGCTGAGAAGAAATTGGCCAGTGTATCTGTTATCATTCGTCACTTCAGTCAGTTATATAGAAGGATAACGTACTCGTGTTTTCCTTTTGTGTTCGTCACTTCCTTTTATAGAAACCTTTATTACGCATCTAACGAGGTCTATCACATTTGTAATAATGACTGACACCATAATTGTCCTTTAATATCTAAGAAATATGTACATACATTTATTATGTTTTGTAGGTGCCTGGATAATGACAAGTGGTACGAAAACGCGGGTTTTAAAATACGTCGGCGAGGCCTTCAAAGACAGTCAGCATAAAAAGCAAGTTCCTATTCTAGGTGTCGTACCGTGGGCTTTACTTGAGAATCAAGACCAACTTATTAATAAGGAAGTAAGTACAATTAAGATGTGATTAGGGAAGTTTACTGATTACTAAATGTTTGGTGCCAAATAAAACCTTCTATCTTCAATGAATCAAACATCTTCTCTGCTTTGAAAGTCATTAGTGCCTTAGCCCCCCACCCCCACCCCTTCAAAAAAACGGTGTTACTCGAACGACAATATGAGCCAAATCGCCGACCCAAAACTGTTTATTCTTATTTGCCATTTCCTATCAATCGGTCTTGGCCATCCTGTTTCACAAAAGTCTCCTTTCAACTCCGTGAAAGATAACTGACCGCTACGTTCCCGGACGTGGTAACACAAACGGGTCCGGGCACTATTTTATGTACTTATATACACTAAATAGGATATATTTTTTTTATCCAGATGTACATCTTAAATCTTTATTTTTTCTTAATAATTAAAAAGAAATATTGCAGAAGAAAAAAAGTTAATAGTGAGAGCTAATTAACTCGCCACGGTGTCATCGATTCACCCATCTCAGTGATAGTAGCTGCCAAGCGAATATTGGCTGCTGATCAGTTTGGGTATTTGCGTGTTTTTCTCGGGTATTATTTTTCAGAACCCAAGCCAAAACAAATAAAAAAATTTCCCACCGACCGGCCTAGTTTATGCCTTTGGGTCAAGCATCCGTATACCCGGGTGTTGTTTTTTGTGTGTTTGTATTTTTGTGGGTTTTTTTTTGGGGGGGGGGGGAAGGGGGTGATGCTTCAAGAAACAACTTGTACTAAACATGTTCTGTAAAATTTAACACAGGGATGGTACATTTGAAACTCAAATAATCAACTCGTTTATCGGCTTTTGGCCAAGCCTGCACCGAACGAAAACTCTCGTAACTTCATAATCCATGAGAATGTGTCCATTTTTGGACCGGGATCTGGTCCCTAAGAACTACGCACCTTGTTCGTTTTGTTCTTGGGGGCGACGCTCTTTGAAAAGTTCGACATGAAACTTTTCATGATTGCTGCTTATTGGACAATTGCTCATCGATTTGATATGGCGTCCCAATTCCAAGATGGCTAAGATGACGCCATAGTCAGTTCTTGGTCCATAGTGTTACTTGTTTATTTTAGGGTAATTGGCCATATGTCCAGGAAAGTGACGACCATGTTCTCGATGATAATCATACATATTTCTTCTTGGTGGACGAGGTATCATCTGTCATTAAGGATGTTAGCAATACTACCAATAAGACTCAACAAAAACAGGCTGGAGAAAGCCGCCAGAATAGCGCAGGGAAGGGAACTAATCCAGGAACTTCCACACAAGGCACCATGAAGCACCATACAGTAACTTCATTTCGAAATGAACTCGAGGCCAAATTAATTAATCATATAGGTAAGTTACTCTATTCTGCTAGACATGCGAATTATAGAACACAAAAGGTTGCCTCTAAAATATAGACCACAAAGGGTTGCCTCTAAAATACCAAAGTACGTGTTCGCTGGGATACCGGGTGTTCTAGTAAGAATATGCATAACCTGCCTCGTGTACGACGTCCATTTCAGCTAAAGTCGTATTTTGACAGGCGTCTCGATTACATGATTTAAGGATTCGGAAAAATTTTTGAGAATCTACCGCGCAGAATTCGAAGAGCAGGTATGCGAAAGTCTGTCCATAGGAAAATCAAATATTTTGCCAAAACATATAGAGCGGTATTAAGCATATTATTTTATTTTCTCAATTTTTCATATTGCAATCTGGTTAAAATACAGATCTAAATTTCGTTTCGTTTTTTTATACTTTCGATTATCAGGATCATACGAGTGACTTTTGACCTATGAAGCTAGTCATTTGATTAACTAATCAGAGGCGGTGTTCCAAGTGGCTATTCGGAAATACAATCTGTACTTTGTTTGATTTTCTATCGCTGTAAATGTCCTGCGCTCCACAAGATAAGAACTCGACAGAACAGACCTTTTATTTAACAACCCTTCCAGTAGTGACGAGCAATATATTATAACCAATCTGATTAAAATTATACAGTAGTAGTCTACACTACATGAAGATCTGGCCGGTTGTAGTGGAAGATCGCGTCAGAGGTCATACGAGCAGGTTTTGACCCTATGACGTTAGACATTTGATTAACCAATTAGCATTGATATTACTAGTGGATAACCCACAGTTTCGTGCAAAACACGCCCAAAGCTCGCCGTAACAGACCGTTTCATTGGCTAATTCCTCATACCATTCAGAACACGTCAATGATAACAACTCTTCAAGATCCTAGTGTAGTAAAGACAAGTAAAACGAAATTTTGAACTATAAAAAACGAAACGAAATAGCATTCACTAGGTTTAATACTGCAACGTTTCAATATAAGGGTACTGTCAGCATTACTATATGGTTTCTTTTACAGGGAAGTAAGACTTTGGCTCGCTAACCTGGAAGTTCCGTGTTCGATTCCGGCCTTTGCCGGGAAAGTTCATCGGGAGTTTCCGGCATAGTTCCCGTGGTGTAGGACGGAGGGGCTGGCAAGGGACAACGTATAGTCGTACGACAAACCGAGGTCCCGTGTACACATTGGCTTGCATTTCAAAGAAATATTAAATTTATAATTCGAAATAAGAGTGGGCCGTAGGGCCACTGTCGGGACAACATTTCCGTCATAACACATTACATGGGATATGCCTGTCTTCTTTAGCCCAATCGGAGGAGAAAAGTAGAACCCCATTTTGTTTGATATTTTTTTTCCAGTGGAGTTTGATGTTGGCCATAAACCAGCGGTTATATTAGTAATAGAAGGTCAACTGGATGAGTTGAAATCATTATATGATGCTGTAAATCAAGACAATCCAACACCAGTAGTGATTATACAGGTAACTTTTATTTCAATACTCTGCCACACTTACCATCCATTCAAATAGTTATCATTTAACATTTTGTAGGGGGCTGGTAGATGTAATAATCTTTCAAATCTGAATGCAAGCACTAAAATTTGCATAAGGGACGGTTAAGGGCCATTTATTGAGGAAATCCCATTAGACACTTGAATCATCCAACATTGCTGCCATTTTCGGCTTTTCTTTCACATAAATTACCCAATGGACAGTTAAAGGGATTTGTAAACACCCACATTGTCCTGTATACGTATTATGTGGTCGCCCATGTCTGTCTGTCCGGACGTCTAGACGTCCGTTTACGTTTGTTTGTGGACAATATGGATGTCACAGTTTTTATCCAATTTTGATTAAACTTACAATATTATGCTTATGTCCAAGATACCGGACCACAATTTCTTGGGCTATGAGTCCCTATCTTTTACGTATAATTGCGGAATAAGTACAACGGTTGTGGGCCCTCAAGAGGCCACAAGTTGTGGTCCGATTCAAATGAAACTTACGATATGTTAAAGATCAAACGATCGTTGGGAGTTTGGTTTTGGTCTGCATTAGACAGTATTTCCTGGGTTATGGCTTCTACCTTTTCCCGCAAAATGTAAATTATCTACAATTCCAGGGCCAACAATTATCTGTGACGTTATCGCAAAAATAAAAATGGCCGCCATATTGGATTTTCGTGTGGCTTTTAGAAGAATAGTCATTTGCACGATTTCCCTGGTTTTATGCAGCCAGATGCTTTACTAATTCCTTCCCTCAGGAATTATTCCGTATTTGTGTAACGGTGTATTTGGGAGACGTGGAATATTTTATTTCAAATCCCATTAACAGTATTAATAGGATAAATATCCTTGGGTGTTATTCTCTATATCCGTCTCAGCTATGGTCAGGAAATTCAATGGCTAAAGACGACGGGCATACACCATACAGTGTGCTACGAGGGAATTTGTCCCCTTAGAGCGACGCTACGGCCTACTCTTATATCGAATTCCAACTATCAAGTTATGTGCACGCCAACGCGTCACGCCCTGAACCATTAAAATTGAATTATATGTAATTCTTTTTTTATGAAGGGATATGATGGAGTTGCAGATATTTTAGCCTTTGCAATTCGATCTTGTAAAAATGTCGACACCATGGATAGGTATGTTGTAAATTTTATGTGTTCTCGATTTGATTCATAATAAATAAATGAAATGGGGTTTAATGTCCTACTGTTTTGCACCGACTGAGCTAATGAAGACGGGCTTACGCCTTAATGTTTTATGAACGACGTTTTGCCGGAACAATAGAACTACGGCCTGCCCTTATTGCGAATTCCAACTGTACGCCAGTGTGTAAACGGGAACTCCGTTTTTCGTCTTAGCCAAACGACTGCATGTTGTCCCTTGAGAATCTCTCCGTCCCGGGGGGGGGGGGGGCACCGGGATCAAATACGGGACCTCCAGGGTAGCACTGAGCCCTCCCCCCCCCTACTCTTTGCAGTGTTTCGTTTTATTAGACCTTATCCCACCCAAGCACTGCTGTAATGAAAGCAAATTTCTGTTCCCAATTATGACTGGTCAATAGTCCGATTAACAACCAATACCTAACTGCGAAACAATATTTATTCGGGTTTAAACAGAGCTCCAGATATGTTTACATAACGCTACGTCATGACTCATGAAATTTATTACACCAAATTAACAAGTGCATAGCCGAATATTACAGAAAAAACTAATTGCGTGGCAAACGAGGCTATCATGGCGGCTACTAAACAATACTGTATGGAGACGAAGAATACTTTCGTCGTTTTTAATCCCTTAAATCACTGTCTAAAATTTTAGGAAAGACCTCAGGTTACGCCATGCAACACCCACAAAGCCTTCAAAATTCTGTGCCGCGACAAAAAGTAGAGCTGACAAACGTGATTAAAATAAAATTACCGCCCCCCCCCCCCCGCCCGTTTTGCCATTACCACTATTAAGTTGAAAAGCAAAGAAACAAAAATTAATTCATAATATTTTTATTAATCTTGCTACTCTTTTTTGTCAAACCATACAGAGATATTGATGATTGGGGTGTAAATGCATCAAAACAAAGTCTTTGATTACTTCGGACTTCAAACACGCCCGTGTGGATGCGAAAAAAAATACGTTAAAATCAAAGCTACTACAACACTCTTTTAATTTTTACTTGTGCATAATTAATCATCATTCCGGACATTAGTATACTTGAACTTTTTTTATAACTTTAAAAGCCTGGATTATTAAGCAAAACCAAAATGCTTACAAAAACTAAGAAAATATTGAAATCTATCATTTCACAATTTTCAACTGCTGCATTTGAAAATTTTAAAGTTCTAAATTAGAGAAATTCGACACTACCGGTTAGAAATACTTATCGGGTTGAACAGTTATCAGAAGTCAATCCAGTAATGGCCAGAGAGGGATTTCTTGGACCATTGCTTCAGTAATATGTCGCTCCCTTCGGACTCTTCGAAACATAATTCCACGTCATATTTGAGCTGCGATTATCCAAGACCATGTCAAACGTGCGGTTTTGTTCCAGTCGTATGTGGTGTTTTATGCGGTGTAAGTTTGTTAGGCATACACAAACACGCGAGCGATTCGTCTGCAGCAGGCTGATAGCACGTCAGGCCCCAAGAAATTGATGGATTTGGCGTACGATCACCTAGAACTAAATGCTACCATTTTACAATTGTGTGCGACTGTTAAACGACTGGATGACCTGGCGCCTGGTACGTTCGGGCATTTTTATGCGCGAACTCTTAGGTTTTTTTACTGGCATGCGCACAGGTACTATTTCTTTTTCTTTTAACAAGTACTCAAATCGGGGATTTCGTGCGGAGGTAGTTCGGAGGTAAACAGTCTGTGAAGTACAACACTTGCCACTGTACCTGTGTATCGCTAATTATAAACCAAATGTGTGAAGACAGTTCATACATATCACTCAAAAATTTTTCAGTACAAACTCAGTTGATTCACGCTCGATTTGCTACTAAACAAACCCATCGGTTTATTTTCTCAACAGTGTGACCCGAAGTGACCGCGGATTTATTGACCTTGTATGAACTTATCCATAGCTATATCCTTACACCGAGAGAAATTATCTAGTCTCGGTGAAAAGAACCATGGTCATCTGGTAGAAAATTACTTCTGTATTTTTTGGAACGGAAAACAGTGTTTTTGGAAGCAAACTAAACTGCCGCACATGAGGAAGTCATTATACTAATAATAAAAGGCGAGACCTCTTTTTGCAGCGCAGGCTTATCACTGAGTAGTAAACCGTCCACAAACAATAATATAGGAAGCCTAGTGACGAGTGTAGTAAGTAGGCTATAGACTATAGGTTTGAGTCGAGATTACTCGCTTTCACTTTACTCTGTTTTTTGCGATAACCAATTATGTGAGAAATACCACACTGACATTCGGTTTTTAAAAGTTGTACCGAACAATCGCCGCCCGAGCTGTCTTGTCAGCTAGTTTCACAATATCGTGCAATAGGTGTATTAATGTGATTTTTAGGTTTAACCCCGCAAACAATGCCAAAATAGTGTTTTCACTGCTTACAGAAAACTGAAATTTAAAAAAAAATTTTTTTTATGAAGGTGACCCTCCCACACACTCCCTATCGAGCTGCCGCTCGGTCTGCGCAGCCTCATGCCTGGCACATACTGTCAACATTGTATATTTTTCCGTTTCCGCCCTTCCCCCCCACAATATATATTTCACGGCTACGTTGCGACGGTACCAGCATACCCAGTTGTTGACACCCATTACATCACTCCTGTCTAACAAATCATAAAGCTGTGGTGTTACGGTGGCGGCATAGTATTTCACCGTAACACCACAGCCACTCTAACCATTCATAATACATCTAACTATCCCTTTACAGCACTTCACTCCCTACACATTGCCCCTCGTCCTACTTTCCCAAACGTCAACAACACATCTCATACATCCAGTCCGCTGATTAACCCTTGTACCACGTCTACTGGATGACCAAGAATGGCCAGTTTTGAATATAACCAAAAACCCTCTCACTAACGAATTCGACTATGTAACTAATGATTTCCAAGATTCTGGAAGACATGATATCGTGTTTGATGTACTCCTATCTTTACCTTTTAGACTTACACAACAATCAGTAGCTGAACTAGTTGAGGAACAATATAACAAGGAAACGTCGTTGGATAAAACAAATGAGAAAGAGTCCAAAGTAGCGGAAAATGACAAGAAGGAGAAGAAGAAGATGAAAGAAGTTAAAACACCAACGGACAATAACGCAGATATAAATAATTTAGTGAAACAAAGAAAGGAGACACTAAAAGAAGGTGTAGGTCGGGAGCGAAAACAAGGGGTACAATTAGATACTTACATGAATATTGGTGGCCAACAGACAGCAACACAGGTGGAGGTTGGCATCAGTCCAGATAATCCTGGAAATAAAACCCCAAATGGACTCTTTAAAAATAAAGAAAAGATTAGCGACAAACATGTGGAGGGTAAGGATGAAGACCAAAATAGGGAAGCGAAAATCTCAAAAGGGAAACCAAAAAATAAAGAAAAGATGAGTGCAAATGAAAATGATGTGGAGGATAAAGGCGATGTGGAAGCAAATCGCAAAGATGGCGTAAAAGGGAAACCGGAAATAAGTGGTGAATCAACAACAGAACCAGAAAACAAAGATGAACCCAGAGTGGAAGCGGCGGACAACAATGGCCCAAAGGAGAAAACCAAACGCACGGTAAACCCGAAAGAAAAAGAAAGGGTGAAATCAGAAAGCATGACCCTGATTTTAAATATCTTGAAACACAAGGAGAGAATAGAAGTCTTCGAATTAAAAAACGAGACGTCCACGCCATTCGGTCTGGCAGATGCTGTTTACAATCGCATTGCTGAAGGTATGTTATATTGTTATGCACGTATTTAATGAACGGTTCCCTGAATTTCAAATTGTAGGTTTCTATCAATAACGATGAGAGAGAGAGAGAGAGAGAGAGAGAGAGAGAGGGGGTAGCGTCCACTGGATAAAAACTATGTCAATTCTGGACTAACATGTATAGTCGTTTTGAAGGGACTAAAAACCGAGGTCCTATGCACACTGGGCTGCAGCCAAGGGTCCGAATATCACAGATGTCCGCGCCATTCGGTCTGGCAGATGCTGTTTACAATCGCATTGCTGAAGGTATGTTGTATTGTTATGCACGTATTTAATAAACGGTTCCCTGAATTTCAAATTGTAGGTTTCTATCAATAACGATGAGAGAGAGAGAGAGAGAGAGAGAGAGAGAGAGAGGGAGGGTAGCGTCCACTGGATAAAAACTATGTCAATTCTGGACTAACATGTATAGTCGTTTTGAAGGGACTAAAAACCGAGGTCCTATGTACACTGGGCTGCAGCCAAGGGTCCGAGTATCAAAGACCCCCCCAAAATTAATCTTTAAAACATCTGTACTATAAATATTATATCGTTTATTATGTTTGTGGCAAATGTATCTACCATACTGGTAGACAAATATATATGTCACCCTTTTTCACTGTTAATGCAAGGGCCCCATGCAAGCCTAATCCAGTCCTAATTGTCATGCAAGAAATGTGGCTTCTGTTACAATATGAGCCAATATCTCTATTCTTTATTTACAAGGAGACGACGTAGATGATGGACCTCTAAGAAAAGCCTTAATTTGGAATGATATTGAGAAGGTTAAGTCAATACCTATCCAGGTAAACTTTTTTTACAGTATGTATATATATATGTATATTTGAAATGATGTGATGATATGTATTTAAGTTCATTGTAGATCGAAAGATTTTTAAACGCAATCATTTAATAGCCTCAAGGTGTCTGTTTTAACAATATTTTGAACCGTTCTGCATGTATCTCCAAGAACACGGTGCACACTTGCGCAAGGAGCCACCATGGCTTAGTGAGTAAGACGTTGGGCCTATAACCTGGAGGTCCCGTGTTCTATCCCTGCGTTCATCTGGAATTTTCCGAGGTTCCTCCTTGTGCCCACTTGCGTAGACTAGATTGGTATGAGGACAAATAAAATGAAATAGGATCATTATCATTCCTTAAATATTTGGGAGCCCCTGTGGCGCAGTGAGTAAGAAGCTGCCTAGTTAACCTGGGGGTTCTGGTATAGGGCGGAGTGTCTGGCAAGGGAAAAAAATGTTTAGTCCTTCGGATGGTATGAAACACCGAGATCCTGTGTACATATCGGCGTGCACGTAAAAGAATCCTTGACATTTGGAACTCAAATAAGAGTAGGCCTTAGTGCCGCTGTCCGGGCAAAAAATTGCCCTCACAGCACACTGTATGGCGTAAGCCCGTCTTCATTATTCCAGTCGGTGCAGAACAGTAGGACGTTAAACCCCATTTCATTTCATTTAATACATTGTATTTTTGAATCTACTTCTAGGATATCAATACAAAACGAAGTTTGGTACTTATGGCCATGAGACAGGAGAATGTTGATTTTGTTAAATTATTCATAGAGAACGGTTTAAAATTAAATGGGTTTTTCACTAAAGAAGATCTGCAAACGTTATATGAAGATAAATACAACATAGTAAGTAATGATAATTTAAATCAATATTGATTCAACGGGTGGGAGTGCCTGTCAAGGGACAACGTATAGTCGTTCGGACGATATGAAAACCGAGGCCCCGTGTACACATTGGCGTGCAAGTAAATAGACGCGCGAGAGTTGGAATTAGAGATAACCGTAGGCAAAAATTTCTCTCATAGCACAATGTATGGCATATGCCCTTCTGTTATTAGCCCAGTCGAAACAGAACAGAAGGACGTTAAACCCATCACATTTTATTTCATTGCCGATATTTAAACCATCCAGTTATTGCTTTTCAGCTGGAGCCTTTGATGGAACAATCCCTTTTCAACAAACTTAAAAGTCTCGGTTATAACTTACCGTTAGACTTGGATGTAATTCGGAGGAGAGCTACTGGTTGTTACATGGATAATCATGTTGGCAGGAAAGGCATGGAAAACTGTAAGTTAAATAACTAACGATTTCAGGCTATGAATATTGTAACAATATTATGGCCCGGCATAGAATATCTATTTTGAAACCCAAAGTGAAGCAAAGCCATGACGATACAGGTATGTTTGCCCCAGCCCAGAGCGATATACAGGGGGGAGTCTAGGTAACTCAGAGTGATATATCGGGAAATGACAAAGAAAATTCAGTCAGAACAACCCAACTCCCTCCTCCAACACACACATGTATGAATGTAAGAATTTGTTATTAAAACAAGGACACACAAAAAAAAGAATTTTATTGAAAGATAACTCCATGTTGAGGTATGAACTTCAATTTATGTTGTGTTTCTGTCTAGAAACCGATCATCAATTGATACTTTGAGAATTTTGCACTACATAATACAACGGCGATCACACGTGTTTAATTAATTTGTGGTCAGGTTAGGCAAGGTATTCTCTTCATATTTTCTATATTCATGTATATTACAGCAGCTGCCAAACAAACATCAGATGGTAATAGGCACGATAAAATCTCATTGGAACATTTATTTGTTTGGTGTTTGATGGTCAAAAATCAAGATTTAGCTAAGATGTTCTGGAAAGAACTCAAAGTGTGTATATTAGTATTTATTTCTCTGTATGTTTTGCAATAAAAGGTTCCAGAAGCAATTTGCGGAAATTTCATATTTTGGATGTCTCACATTCTGTGGAACGTTCGTGGTAAACAACACTAGAGATTAGAAAATCTTTTTATCAAAATGGGAAATGCATCACGAGAGAGGCTAGGAACCCAAATTAAATTTTTCGTAAAATGATTCACAGAAAATGCATTATCATGAAAATTATAATAATTATAAGAATTTCGAAATGGCATTACGGCCGCAGACCGCATTTATCACCAGATTTCCATAAACCTGACCGATTCTGATAAAATTAATAATATCTCAGAGTAGGGAGAATTTTGGCCACTTCCGGTTAACGGTTTAGAGAATATCAAGGAATCACACGTTTAATTTGACACGGCTGCAGACCGCAATTATTAACCGATATCCATGCAATTTACAGATTATAATAACATCAGTAATATATCAAAGTAGGAACAAAGTTGGCCAAATTCAGTCGTTGGTGTCGGAGATATCTGGTTAGCATACAAATAATGACACCATTATTAATATCCCAGATAAGGCAAAATTTCGGCCATGTACGGTCAACGAAATATTAGTTTTCAAATATACGTTTGATTTTATATTGATCAAGGAACCTGTAGCCGCTGCTTTATTTGCAATTGGTTTATTTGACGCCGTTATTACTACAAAGAAATTAAAAAAACCAGAAAAGTTACAGATTCTTCAGAATAATACCGGGTAAAGTTATTTTAATTGATCTTATTAGAAGGAGGAACTATTGCAGAATTCAAAAAAAGACCCAAGATTCATCTCTTCACTTCAATATAATATCATATTCTGTGACAGACAACTCAGCGCCATTGAGCAATTTACCTATTAATAGTCGCTATATAAATAAATTATTATTATTATATAAGAGCTAAATCCGTCTATCCTTGAGACCAATATTAACTAGGCAAGCCTCCAATCAACTCTCTAGAGCATCAGATGACCGAGATTGAAATGGATTTAAATACCCGCATGAATTTTTAATTGAACGATAAAATTAACAATCGGTGGTACGATAACTTCATCCAGATAAAAGTAATTTGGATGAAATTTTCAGTATAGCAAGGCAAATTAACTATTTAAAGGGATAGGCGTTTCAGTATTGCTAATTTATCGTGTAGGCTAGTTTAAGGATAGAATATATGCTCGTAGAATTTTTGGCTCCCAAAAACAGAAGTTCTATTCTAGATAAGATGTTTCCATGGGTATATATTTGAAATAGGGCATAAGTATGCTGACCTTTCTTTAGCAAATCTAAAACTTCCTTCGATGGTTGGCGTGATTAGATCAAGAGCAGAATTGAAAATAATAGGCAAGCCATCGCAGACAAATTTACGTTTCTGTTCTCATTGATCTATGTCTTTTTTTAAAAATATGCCCTACTTTACCCAATTTTAACCGGAATAATACTAAGATTATTTGAAATATAATATTATTCAAAATTGATTTCATTTATTAGTTTTCAATGAGCATTTTAAATATTCCCTGGTGTGTTCCAGATATCATACCGCTTAATGCTTCTTTTAATCTCTGTCCTTGTTTTCAAAGTGATTTTGTAAAGTTGGCCATGGAAATGATGAATAAGTGTTATACGGAAAAAAAGTGGTTTGAGATCCTTCTTCAAAAACTTGACAACTGGAATAACAAATCCTGTTTAATATTGGCCTCAAATACAAAGAATATTGGATTTATGTCCCACACAGCTTGCCAGGAAGTGATGGATTATTTGTGGTGGGGACAGTTTGAGTTATCAAGTGTGCCATATGTGGTATGTATTTATTTTTTATTTTTTTTAGCTTAAAATGACTCAACCTCTTTAATTTAAACCAAAAATAAAATTTTGTTTTTTTTATGCTGATTTGTTTTGTGGGAAAGATGCAAATCGTTATTTTAAGCATAAAATACTTGGTATGATATCCATCACATGTTTGTTTGTATATTGGGGTGAATTATTCCAGGCATGGTATTCAACATTGGGTATTAAAGATGTCTTTGCTGATACAAAGTTGAAAGAAAGTGTGTTGGGGTTTTATTGTTCCCCTGTAGTTATCTTTGGATTACATGTGGTGAGTTACATCACACCTTTATAAACATAAATATACTGTTTATTTATTTATTATTTTCTTCTGTGGACCCCTTGTCTTGTATTACCCAAAATATGTGTCCTAGTAATATTTGTAAATATACCGGGGCCGTGGTGGCTCTCTAACCGGGGTTGGCCGCGAAAGTTTATCGGGATTTTCCAGCGTCCCGCACCCCTTTGTCCGTGGCGCAGGACGGGACGGCCTTGAAAGGGACAGCGTATAATTGTTCAGATGGGAAACCGAGGATCCATTGTACACATTAGTGTGCACGTAAAAGAACCCTAGGCAGATGGAATTCGATGTTAGGTCGAAATGTCTCTCATTTTGGAGAGAACTTATATAGGCCTCTGCCTGTTGTTCAATCTAATTCAGTTTATTGAATAAAATATTGTTTAAACTAAATGTCTCTCGTAGCACACAGCATGGTGTATGTCCGTTGCCATTACCCCTGTCGGAGCAGAACAGTGGAACATTAAACCCTGCTTCATGTGATTCCATTTGTATACTAACAGATTCATATGAATAAATAAAATTTACTCATTCCGAATAAAGAACTTTCATTGATTTTGAAGACCAGATTTTTTTGATATTATTATTTGTCTTCAGGTATCATATTTGATATTCCTTGGTCTCTATAGTTACCTCATGCTGGTGAAGTTTAACCCCTATTTTACTATTGTCGAGGGCGTCGTTTGTTTTTGGGTGTTCACAATAGCTTGTGAGGAAATCCGTCAGGTAGGAATTAATTAGACTCTAATGAACGTTAAAACTTGATATAGAATATCGGTTTCAAGGGGGAGAGAGAAATAGGGTTTAACGTCTACTCGACACAAACAAGGTCATTTCGGGACTAACACTCAATAATTCGCTTGCGCGTAGGGGTCTTTAGAAGTGGGGGGGGGGGACAGGGCAAAACCCACGAGGTTGGACAGGCGACCCTACTCCTCTTCACGTACAACCGGGGAATCGAAACCACGCCAGGTGACTCAATGACAGACCTTATGATACAGCGCGTACGATATCGTTTTTAAAGCTGATGACTCTGAGTTGTGATGGAGTCAGTAGCGCTTGTATTTGATATTTGTGATGAAACACTATTACATACAACTAATATGTAATTACTGGTCCACATACAAAGGTCCAATAAAAATGTTACAGCTGTGTTCCAACGTTATAGAAACCGAAATCATGTCCATTTTCTACCTCTCTGGGCATTAACCGTAACCCTTTTCACCTTTGTTTGGCCTGGTTAGCAGGAAGTATCGTTTATGATGTAGAAACGTGTTAATGTTAGATGTTAGGACGGCAGGCCAATCCAAAACCCGGCCCTTACCCTGTCGCAGCTCAACCAAACGGTCAACAATTTATTTTTAATTTGCAAAAAGATTTGGTGAAATGTCTTACTGATTAAAATGATCACTGTGTTAAATAATTCTTTTGACGAAACACAGCAAACAAACAGGTAATCAATAATCAGGTAATCAATAAGCAGGTCACCCAAGGTCAAGATTACCTACTACTGTTGTAAACAAGACCAGTTACCACTTATAGAGAAACAAATTGTTTATTCTTTACATGTTATTGCTATAGAATATTGAATTGTAAATTGTAAAACTGTTTTGGTTCATTTTGTGATGGTTTCTTCAGATATATAATAGTGACACCGATACTGTAAGACTGAAGATCAAGACTTATTGGAGTGATTCGTGGAATAAACTTGATATATTTACCCTTGTTTTATTCATAATTGGAATAATACTCCGTATCATACCTGATGCTTATACCTTTGAGGCTGCTCGGGTGATTTTGTGTCTGAATCTCGTCTTCTTCTACTTTCGAATGTTACACATATTTTTTGTAAACAAACATTTGGGACCTAAAATACAGATGATCAGTAAAATGGTAGGTTGAACTTATGTTTTATATGTGAGGGTATATTATATTAAATAGCTAAGATGAAATTAGTTTTTTCCTTCTAAAAACCTCATATTTCTATATATGACGGACACTTCCCGAGAAAACGGCAACTGTCATTTACGCAAATAGTGAAAAAGCATGTAATATGTATTTCAAAGGATGTGGACCCTCTCCACGACAAAATTGTCGTCCCGTTTAGTTGAACCCTAAAATATGTATCAGGGACCAAAAGATCTTCCGTTTGGGAATTATGCCCCTTAATTTTTACACAAAATGTGATATATGTATAAAGTTTGTGGACCCATCAAAGACCACAAAATTTGTCTGATTCAGATGAAACTTAACATATATGTTAACAAGGCGTAAATCTGAATTTCTGTTCTGGAGTGATGCCCCCTGCCTTTTACGCAAAATGTCAATCACGTGCAAAGTTTTTGGAACCTTTAGAGTAATACCCCCTTTGCCGAAAACCTTTTCAAAACTTGTTATGCCCAATTTGTGAATACGATAGTGGCAATATATTTTAACGGACCCTTCTCAGATTTGATATTTAGAGTTCCGCAACCTTCTGTTCCGGAGTTAACTCCCTTGACGAAAGCGCTCTGATCGTGATAACGGCTACAGTTTTTAATGAATTAATTTCACATTTCGCTCCGTAGTTACCCCCATTTCGGAAACCCTTGTGAACGCGATAGGGGCTACATTTATTAACAGATTTATGTGAAGTATTTGAGACCCTTCCCAGTTCTAGTTCCGTCTATTCCCAAATGGGAGCGTGTCTTGCATAGGAACTGCTTGTTCGCAGAATCTACCAGTCATGCCGTGCAATGTTTTAAAGTTATTTTATTCATTTGTTCGAAACTTCTTTTTTTATTTCCGTCTATGATTTAGTCAGTTTCCAGAATATCTTGCAGAAATAACCTCCCTAAAATGGGAAGATCAACGATTTTCAAAAAGGTTTATATATACATTTAGAAATAATCCCCTCTGTATTACAAGCAAAAACGTTTATGCGAGCGAGAAATTAATTTTTATTTATTAAAAATCGTTGGTCTTCCCCTTTAACCCAACTTATTTTGCGATAGAAAGAACTCCCAAATTGCTTTTTTTTAAAACAGGTCAGAAAAGATCTAATTCCCTTCATGGCGATCATTTTGGTTTTTATCTTAGCCTACTCATTAGCATCAGAGGCTATATTATATCCGAACACAGAATTATCATTGAAACTATTATACCATCTACCACGGAAAGCATACTGGCACGTTTATGGGGAACTCTTTCTTGAGGATATAGAAGGTATTTATTTATCTTTATTTTTATTTTAATCTCTCGCTGAATCTACTGGTGAAGCTGATATAGCTATAATGTTTTAATCTGTCGCTGAAGCTACTGGTGAAGCTGATATAGCTATAATGTTTTTGATCATGATTATCTTGATTAGGTTGGTTTACTTGTATTTTAATCTCTCGCTGAAGCTACTGGTGAAGCTGATATAGCTATAATGTTTTAATCTGTCGCTGAAGCTACTGGTGAAGCTGATATAGCTATAATGTTTTTGATCATGATTATCTTGATTAGGTTGGTTTACTTGTAGTGTAGAAAACCAATTGTATAACGGTATAGCAAGGGAGGAGGAGAGAGAGAGAGAGAGAAAGAGAGAGAGAGAGAGGGGGTGGCCTAGAGTTAATTTCTAGACGCCCTCGCCTAGCCATCGACTCGTCCACTCGACACAAACTAGGTCATTTCGGGACTAACACATGATTCAATTTTATTTCAACAATTCTCTTGCACGATGGGGTCTTTATATGCAGTGGAAGGAAACCGGAGGACCCGGAGAAATCCCACGTGGTTGGACAAGCGACCCTATTCCTTGTCACGTACAGCCGGGGAATCGGAACCAGAAAAGTAAGACGTTAAACCCCATTTCATTTTGTCTTTCGTGTGGATTTGCCCCGTTCCACAAAATACTGCACTGGGCCAATAAGGATGCTACAGAGACAATGACTTGTCTCAAAGACCTGAATTACAATTACGGAGCCACTAAACATTTGCTCAACTATATTTGGTAGGAATTGCTGTCTTTTTTCAAAGCACATTCATTTAGTACAAATCATGGGTTTTTTTGTATGTTTAAGGAACATCAGCATGTACCAATGACCCGGCATTATATAATGACTACATTACACTGCGATGTCCATCAGAAGTAGGAAAATATGCAGTACCAATCCTTTTGGGAATTTTCATGCTTGTAATGGTTATTCTGCTGTTGAATCTTCTCATTGCAATGTTCAGGTAATTGACAGATAACACCCCTCCCTCTCTCTCTCTCCCTTTCTCTCTCTCTCTCTCCCTCTCCCTCTCTCTCTCTCTCTCTCTCAGTTAAATTGCCCTGGGTTAAATTCTATATTCTATATATTATTTTTCACAGCCACACCTTCCAACGAATACAAGAGCAAACGTATCCTTACTGGTGTTATCAGCGCTATCAGTTGATTCATGAATACTACTTCCGGCCAGTCCTGCCTCCACCATTGATATTCCTGGCGCATGTCGTAAAGTTTTTCCGGCACTGCTTCAAAAACTACAGAGGGTCTGAAAACGTCATACACCCTGAATCTACGTTTAGTAAGTATCCGATGAAACGGGGTTAACATCCTGGTTCTTTTTTTGCTCCACAGTGTGCTAAGGGGGTGGGGCAATGTCGCTCGGACAGAGGTACTGCGGCCTAGTCTTATATCCGATTCTAACTGCCAATGGTTATTTTACGTGTACGCCAATGATTACACAGCTCCTCGGTATTTCGTACCATCCGAACAAACTATACATTTTCCCGTGCCAGGTCCACCATCAATGACAACTTCCTCTGCCAATGTAGGGGTCGTACACTTCACCTACAAGTTCGGGAGCCAAGGCCTTACTCAAGGAGCAACCGCGGCTCCACAGTATCGCACTTTTGCCAGGAAAGTCACCGGTTATTGCCAGAAAATTGTTGTTTTAACGCGAGCACGTTAGATCATAAGGTCTGTCATTGAGGCAAGTGACGTGGTTTCCATTCTCTACTTGTACGTGACACGGTGTGGGAACGCCTGTGCAACCTCGTAGACTTTCACCGAGTCCTCTGGTTTTCACACACTGCTTAAGATTATTAGTCATGAAAGACCTAGCTTGTGAGCTTGGGTAGAGTAGATGTTAAATCACATCACACTCTCTCTCTCTCTCTCTCTCTCTCTCTCTCTCTTTCTCTCTCTCTCTCTCCTCCACCCCCGGTTTTCTCCCAATGCTAAAGACCCCTATGCACAAGCGAATTATTGAAACGAAATTGTGCCATCTTTTAGTCCCGAAATGACCTAGTTTATGTCGAGTGGACGTTAAACCCCATTCCCCTCTCCCATTTTATTTTCATATTGCATCCAGGATTGAACTTTAATGTGGAGAAGAAAAAGAAAATAAGTGTCTTCGAAAAAGCCATGGCCAAGGCATGTTTGATGAAACTCCACAAGGACCCTCAGAGTATGGGCAGAGATGATTTTAGAAAGGATGCAATGACTAGCACCACGGATTTTAGTGATGTTTTGACCAAGTAGGTTTATAAACCGTAATTGATTATATTTGTTTATGTATTCATCTATCTCAAAGAAATCCTTATGTTATATATTCTACTTCCCTATGGGCTAAGTTTACCCAAAATAATGTTAATCGTCTATATATTAGTTAAAGTTTTGTCATAACGATAACAAAGTTGCTGTTCCCCGATCTTCTATAGCAAACCCAGGGCCCCCAATGCCACCTGGTCCATCCACTGTGCCATGTGCTGCTGTATGTAAACTTTGATTATATTTGGATCTTTTCGAAAGATTGAGTGTCATCCATGGTTTAGTTGATAAGAATGAGGAGAATGTGTCGGAGAATGCAGTATCTACTATGGATAAAGCCAGTCCAGGGAATGCTATTACCACTATTAAACTACCAGCAGTGACGCATGCAACGCTTTTAGAAGAAGGGAAGGCTACCGTAAAGCCGATAAAATCCGACCAACAACCACTTAAATCAGATGTTTCTACCGTAAGCAGCTTCCGTAAACGATCTTTACATGACAAACATATCGGAGGGAGACTCGAATACAGGAAACTTGACAACGTTGAGAAAAAGCTAGATCAGTTTGAACGACGAATTGAAAAACATGTAAGTCATCACGTTTTTGACCGATTTCCTCTTTTATGGTACACACAGTCAGTGCAGAAAAATGATGATTTTAAACCTCATTTGCCGGTAGTCTCAAATTCATATTTTGTGGATTGTTAATATTAAATTCATATTTTAGGGATTGTTAATATTAAACTCATATTTTAGGGATTGGTAATATTAAATTCATAATTTTTGGATTTGTAATATTAAATTCATATTTTAGGGATTGGCAATGTCAAATTCATATTTTAGGGATTGGTGATATTAAAATCAAATTTTAGGGATTAGCTATATTAAATTCATATTCTATGGATTGGTTATATTTAATTCATATTCTATGGATTGGCAATATCAAATTCATATTTTATGGATTAGTAATATTAAATTCATAGAATATGTATTGGTAATATCAAATTCATATTCTATGGATTGGCAATATCAAATTCATATTTTATGGACACCAATCTTCATTGGCTCGGGTGCTGCAATATGTAGTATCAAAGCAAAAACATACAGAAAATAAAAAGACTTGTATTTTCATATTTCTTTTCAAAATCATTCTATTTTAAAAATCCATTAAAGTAACTACTCAATATGCTTATGTTTTCGATATCTGTGTTTTTTGGGGATTTTTTTGGTGGGGGGGAGGGGGTTTCATGCACGTGAATTCTAAATAAAATGCAGGGAATAGGCCTACAAAAAAATCCTTTTGCGAACTACCATTATATACTCTTCAGAAACAATACAAAACTGCGGAAATGCACTGCTGTTTTTATTAGAGGTAACCAGTGTATGTTAATAATAGGCCAATTGCCTACACATGAACATAACAGTTCATATGGGCTTCTTATCTGACGGCCCCATTTCACTCGCAAAGAGATACATTGTCAAAAGTAAAAATGGACGTTTTTGATTTTTGTCTTAATAATGAGTAATTGCTCCGCCAATCCTCAGACATTCAGCAATTCGTCGTGGCATGCTCTTAATCAATCGCCCAATCACGATTTGGGGCAATCTGACCCACTCCTCTTGCAGTGCCACGGCCAATTCTTGCAGTGTTGTCGGTTGACGTTGACGAACACGTCTCCCGATCAAATTGAACGTAACACACTAAAGTAAAGATACGCTAAACAGTAAATCTTATGCAGATATGATAGGAAAGCAAACATGGATAGGATAAACCAGCAGCCAGCAGTTTTCATCAACCCTTCCTTGAGGTGTTAAATTTGACAATGAACCCCTCTCACGTGTATGGCGCTATTGCGTGTCGCACGCGCAGCTCAGTGGCTCTGTTGGTGCGACAAGTTCTTCATCTGTTAACATACTCACAGAGCATGTCAAGTGTCCATAACTATTTCTATATCTCCTATTATTTTATATATCATTTACTCTTGAAAGGGGTATTATTTATTAAATATAGGTAATATATGTCTTTAATTATTAGGGGGGGTTGGATGGCTGAATGGTTAGCGTGCGCGCGCTGTATCATAAAGTCTGTCATTGAGTCGACTGGCGTGGTTTCGAATCCCCGGTTGTACGTGGCAAGGAGTAGGGTCGCCTGTCCAACCTCGTGGGTTTTCTCCGGGTCCTCCGGTTTCCTCACACTGCTAAAGACCCCTACGCGGAAGCGAATTATGTAAATAAAATTAAACCATATGTTAGTCCCGAAATGACCTAGTTTGTGTCGAGTGGACGTTAAACCCCATTTCTCTCTCTCTTTAATTATTAGATGGAAGACATGGTGAAAGAAAACCGAGATCAAATGGAGAGAATTATAGTAAATTCCAAAGAAATGGAGAGAATTATAGAAAATTCCAAAGAAATGGAGAGAATTATAGAAAATTCCAAAGAAAGGGTAAGCAATCAGTAATCCATCTATCAAAGACACAAAGTAAAGAAGAAATTATTTTTTTCATGGAATTCCACAAACATGAAAAGCAGTTTCTGGTGTTCTAGAGAAAATAATCCTAATCTACTACCACCAGGCAACTAGGTACCCACATGCAGACAATCACCGGTTTTATTCTTCTTTACGATCAAGTAACGGTGTATATATTTTATTAATTAATACCAGCAATATTATTTTAAAAAAAAACATTACTCGGCATACCTCCGGAGCCCCTCTAGGCTCCGGGCCCCTGGACAAGTGTTCCAACTGCCCCCTCCCTTAACCGTCTCCGGGCCCCTCTCGGCTCCGGGCCCCTGGACAAATGTTCCAGCTGCCCCCTTCTCTCCCGGCCCCTCCCTCCAAGATCTCCAGGCCCCTCTAGGCTCCGGGCCCCTGGACAAGTGTCCATCTGCCCCTCCTCTCCCGGCCCCTCCAAGCCCTTCTAGGCTCCGGACCCCTGGACAAGTGTTCCAGCTGCCCCATCCCCTCCCGGCCTCTCCCGACCCCCTCCCTCTACTGTCTCCTGGTCCCTGTAGGCTCCGGACCCCTGGACAAGTGTTCCAGCTGCCCCTCCCCTCCCGGCTTCTCCCCACCCCCTCCCTCTACCGTCTCCTGGTCCCTGTGGGCTCCGGGCCCCTGGACAAGTGTTCCAGCTGCCCGCCCCTCCCCCCACCGTCTCACGGGCCCTGATGTTAATTCGATATGTGTGGATATCAGAGTGTTTGTAAAAACGTGTTCATATTTTATTTAAAGGTTTCTAGAGTGTCAAGGCCGAGCGTACTATCATCTAAAGTACGAGGATATCTAGCAAATGGGTAGGTAGAACCCTTTGTCCTTTATTTAAAACAAAAAATATGGTTAAATGTCCACTCGACACATACTAGGTCCTTTTTGGGACTAACATATGGTTAGATTTTATTTCAATGAGTCCTTAGCAGTGGGATAAAACCGGAGGACCCGGAGAAAACCCACGAGGTTTGAAGGTGACTTACGCCTTATCACGTACAAGCGGTAAATCGAAATCGCGTGACTTGACGGATTTACAGACCTTATGGTTCAACACGCACGTTTTAACCATTCGTCAGGAACCAAAAAAAAAATTAAACCGTTGAGGCTCTCTTGTTAAATATTTAAAGATACATTCCAACGAAAGTATTTATCGGGTGGTTTTGGTATATATGGAACGTAAAGACGCCCAGTCTTACTATGAAATACTGGATTCCATGAAAAAAAAAACACATTAGGGGCGCACAAGACAAAACGGTAAAGGAATCCTTATACTGTTCGTCGCCGACTCTGCTCTGTCGATCTGTATGCTCAGCGGCCTTGCGGTGGAACAATTCTGAATCAACGCAGCTACTGACTTTTCATTTGGCTCGAAATGGGGTGGACTTTATAAACATTAAAAGTTGACTGATGACGACGGGCATATGTCACGCATTCTGCTATGCGGGGCTGTTTCCAACCAATTCCTCATCGAATTCTAGTCTTCAATGGTTCCGTAACATGCACACCAACGAGTGTTCGTCCCATTCTATCGACTAGACGCCTTTCTGTCCTTCCCCTATGACCAGAGTAGAGAAGACTGGGAAATCGCGAGGGACTGACTCTGTCAATACCGGGGTGGAACCCAAGTGCTGGTTAGTAAACCAACGCCTTACTCAAGGGGATGCTATGTCTTCTACATAAAAATGAAATGAGAGAGAGAGAGAGAGAGAGAGGGAGAGAGAGAGAGGGAGAGAGAAATGGGGTTTTACGTCCATTCGACACAAACTAGGTCATTTCGGGACTAACATATGGTATAATTTTATTTCAATAATTAGCTTGCGCGTAGAGGTCTTTAGCAGTGGGAGGAAACCGGAGGACCCCTGCGAAAACCCACGAGGTTGGACAGGCGACCCTACTCCTTGTCACGTACAACCGGGGATGCGAAACCACGGCAGTTGACTCAATGACAGGTCTGATGATACAGCGCGCACGTGCTAACCATTCGGCCATCCAACCCCCCAAAAATGAAATGAAATGGCTGTTTAACATTCCACTGTTCTGCTCCCAATTGGCTATGAAGTCGGGAATGCGCCATACAGTGTTCTATCAGGGAATGTTGCAGGCACAGCGGCGTTACGGCCTACTCTTACATCGAATTCCAACTTCCAAGGGATCTTTTACGTCCACGAGACCTCGGTTTTTCGTCCCTTGCCAGGTCCTCTGTCCTGTGACTGAGAATAACGACTACTGGGGGTGTATTGACTAACTAGTCTGCAGGCGATCTTGGTACATCAATTCCACAGGAAAACAAACATATGATGGGCGGTATAAATTTGGATGGATATTGCAATTTTCAATCTTTTTCTGTTTTAGGATATGCCACTGCCACTGCGCCACGTGTAGAGCTGCAATGACATACGCACAATCAATTCGTCGTAGATTTCAACAGTTAAAGTCGTCACAGCCTGACAAGTAGATTTGATAGATCGCATTATGTAATCCCGATCCAGAAGCGTATCTGCTACAATCTGAACACAAGCGCCATCTACACTAGCCTTAGGTAAATCTGGAACTGGTTGCTAGTGTTGGTGATGCATACTTTATAACCAGTTTTACTGTTACTAGTAGCTGTTATATTTTACTTTATAATTAGTAATTTTTATGTTTAAGACTCGTGTTTTACTGATGGTAGCAGCTCTATAGAGATTTATATTTTACTTTATAACTAGTAATTTTTATGTTCAAGACTCGTGTTTTACTGTTACTAGCAGCTGCTATTTTTACTTTATAACCGGTAATATGTTTTACTGTTACTAGCAGCTGCTATTTTTACTTTATAACCGGTAATATGTTTTACTGTTACTAGCAGCTGTTATTTTTTACTTTATAACCGATAATATGTTTAAGACTCGTGTTTTACTGATGGTAGCAGCTATATAGAGATTTATATTTTACTTTATAACTAGTAATTTTTATGTTTAAGACTCGTGTTTTACTGTTGATAGCACATGTATTGAGATTTATATTTTTACTTTATAAATAGTAATTTTTATGTTTAAGACTAGTGTTTTACTGATGATAGCAGATTTATATACGTAAAAACTGTCAAATCGACATTTCTCCGATTTAGTTTCTATTACGATTGCTATTCACAATGAAACTAGTTGGCCGAAAAACAATTGAATAGTTTCATAGTAGGACTCCAATCTGCAGGTCGCGTCTATTTCCCTAAATTCCAATCTGTGACCGGGAAACGCACTGGTCAGTAAATAGACAATTCCATGTGATCATGAGTCTTATCTATTTCCCCTATTCCCTATAACCAGGGTGTGCTGACAGTTAGAGAGATGAAGCGCAGACGAGAGACGAGCGGGGGTGAGGAGAGAGAGACGGGGAGACGGGAGGAGTAGAGACCGGCGTATGCGGCGTATTGACTCACCCGAGTTCAGCCGCTGCCGTGACAGGAGAACGGAATGGTTGTCTTAATGTACCATGTTAATCTAATCGTTTATATTCCCGATGTAGTTTAGTTCCTGTTGTATTTATGTAGCTGTTTTAATATAACTTTTGTAAATAAATCATATATTTACTAACCTTATATCTGTTATCACTAAGATATTGTTACACTTTTCGTACCGTCCGAACAACTAAACAAGGGTGGAGGAGACACCTTTGTTTATAAGTACTCTACACGAGACAATCAGGTTAAAAGGGACGTAATGTTTCCAAATGGTGGTACTAATTACTATATTAATTAGTTCTATGATGTCACCGCCGGTTCCTGATAAAGGCGATACGGCTAATATGCAATGTTACGTCATGAAGAGACATCACCGATAGTTCGAGTCTATATCTGATACCATTTCTTTTAGGTTAGATAACCAACCTATCAATGGAGACAATTTTGGGTATCATATTCTGATTTTAAATGTGTCTGAGTAAGTTATATAATTAACAAAATAATAGACTGCTCCAAGAAAGGGGTGGAAAGGACACGTCTTAGTAAGTTATTTAATTATTATTTTGGTCAAAACTTTTGGTCAAAAAACATCTGAGTGTGTTATTTCATAGGAATCGTCATACAAGTAAAATGACAAGACAATTTAAATTAATTTATTCTACTAACCTAATCCCCCTTGATAAAGACAATGGATGTAGGTCTATAAGAGTCAAGTGAAATAGATAGTCGATGAATAAAGTTGATATAATTGAAAGGGGGTGCCAAACCATACAGATGAGATCGGCACGCTGGAAGACTCCTTGCTTTTACCTTTTTATATTTTTTTCTATATTTTTACCAACATCACAAAGTTCACGACAAAAACGAGAAATCGTACCTGATCAGTAAGTATACCTTTTTTCTGTCCTGTGAAGTTTGTTATTTATTTACAAAAATATTGATATATTTCATTTTAAACAACTGTTATAAAGAAACCGCCCGAATTTGTTCAGAACTAAAGACAAGCAACATACCAATTAAAAGTATTTTGTATTCTTTTGGGAAATATAAATTGTTCAATTATATTCTTTTTTCGTTTAAACCCATCCTTGGTATCCCCAGTGGTCTCATTCCGCTCTACTCCTCTATTTCCGGGTATTTAAGTTATCTGCCCTTGATTCTACGAACCAGTCAAAAAACAGTCTACAAACCAGTATTAGCCTCATTGCTTACGGGGGCAGATCGCCATTAAAATCCACCATCTCGGTATAACAATTCTCTCTCTGTCTCTTTTCTCCCCTTTTGCACGCCCATTTTTGTTGATTTTTTGGTCTAGAATGGACGAAGAAGGTTTGAATTAACATTTTCTGCCAGGTTTTGGTAAATATTCATGATTTTAAGGCGGAAGGATAACGGGGTTATCAGGTTGGCTACGGCGATATGTACGGCAACTAGGTACATGTTTTTAGTATGCTTCTTCATGTTTGTGTATCACACATGTTTGTGTGGTCAACCTCATACAGATTTTAGTGCAAAGGCATGACCATATATGTTCCTCTGTCTGTAGTGAAAAGCATTCAGCCCAACGAAAATTTGGGGAAAAGTTGGAGGTGGGCAAAGAGGCCAGAATTAACATTGAATTCAATGGGGAAATTAATGGTGGTCTGCTTCCTAATCACGTATCTAAATTATATGCCCTTGATTCTACGAACCAATCAAAAACAGTTTACAAACCAGTATTAGCCTCATTGCTTTGTTTGAATGGTCGATAAGAATAGCACTGTCATCAAGGACAGATAACCCGATTGTGTGGAGTTAGTGGAGTGGAACGGAATGAGACCACTGTAGATACCGAGAATGATTTAAACCGTGATTTGTACTTTCTAAAAAATACGCCGTGGACTGGGTTTTAGAATGTAACGAGCTACAAGGACCACATATTCGAAATAAACAATGGTCAATAAATCAAAAAGGTGGAGCGTCTTCTTTATAAGCCCCCGTCTCCATCATTACTATGGGAGCAGTCATATATCCTTTTAAATATGTATTTCCAGACCCCGGATTATAACCCAGAACGGCCATCTTGTCTTTCAAACTGGCACCAACCATGACATCACATTTAAATCTATAAATGGCGGGAAAATAAAGTTTGGTGACAGCGACGTCACAAACCTTGCAGACGCGGTAAGTATTTTAGCTTAATGTGTATCAGAAATGAAACGTATTAAGACACAGTTCAGTACCACCCGACCTGGTGGTGAAGAGGCGTCTGTGGTTCTGTGTCCATCTCTTGATCGAAAGACACGCGTTTAATTATAACGGACTTAATTCATCAACATTCAGCTGCCTTTACCAATTTAAATTCTGCAATCAGGAATAGAATAGAATTATCTTGCATACAATATGTAAAGTATGAAATAAAAGCTGCCGAACCCCCTTCAAAAAAAGCGCCGCCCACTCAAGAAAACATACGAAGCCAACAATCAACGTGTCTATATCAGTATGGGCGCCCCATAAAACCGAGTGACATGGGTTGGGTGCCCACGACAAGATTGGCGAGGCGCCCAAGCAATGTCCTTTGGTTTTATGGGCGCCTCGCCGGTCATCTTAATCACACGATTAACACCACAATTTGATTGATGAGGCGCTCAAACGGTGTGATCTGTAGGGGGCCTTATCCCGGAAATACAAATAAGTTGCACTCTGACGCCATTCCGAACGTTTCGTTTTTTCCCCTATATAGTCATATTCCGTTCTTCAAATTTTTATAATGTTCATATGAAAATATCGTAATACGCCAATATCGCAACTCCAGCCTCAAAATTGAAAATTTCCGTCACTTTCATAGTTCCTTTCCTCAGGTGCAAACCCTATTTTCCAAAGTTTCCTGGGCGAAGAACACCCTAGACCGTCAAGTTTAGGTACATGGGCGCCCGAGAAGTTCCATCGGCGCTCCCAGAAGCCTTGCCGCACCCCCCCCCCCCCGCCCTACATTTTGAGGATAGCTACGGGGTTCTGTGAACGTGGACAAATTCAGAGCAGTCACATAATCTGACTTTATAAAACAAATACAAAACAAAACGTACAAAGTATAAGGTACACAAATGGACGGGCTCTAGGACCTATTTCAATGCAATTTCTCTTTATTGTTTGTGGACCTATCATTCGTTCCTCGTGGTATTTTCAGTCTGGTTTCTCGTCATCAATGAGAAGGCATTTAGTCGTTTAAATGACACGAAACATTGAGAGCACGTCGTGTATACCATTGACGCCACGTTAAAGACCCCCAGACAGTCAGTTGGACATTTAAATAAAAGTAGGACATTTTCGTAGACCAGAAACCAGATTGATGAACGACGGCATCCCCGTTGTCACCCGTGCCATAGTTCATCTGGTACCACCACGATTAGTTATCTATGTTACTAATTAGACCAGATGAAGGCCTTTACACTGCGATAAAATGTTAAAATCGACGACAATGTGAACAATTTTAAAGAATTAACTGATAGAATGAACGCTGATAATTCTATACACAACGGGGCTTTGGAAATCAAATCGGTTGAAAATCTAAAAGGATATTTATAGTGAGCGCCAACGCGACTACGAGCACCACATTTGATGGGGTTTAACGTCCACTCGACACAAACTAGGTAATTTCGGGACTAACATATGGTTCAATTTTATTTCCATAATTCGCTTGCGCGCAGTGGGAGGAAACCGGAGGACCCGGAGAAAACCCACGAGGTTGGACAGGCGACCCTACTCCTTGTCACGTACAACCGGGGAATCGAAACACCGCCAGTTGACTCAATGACAGACTTTATGATACAGCGCGCACGTGCTAACCATTCAGCCATCCAACCCCGCGTACCGAGACAAAATTACGACGTCATGAACTTTGTTTATAACATAGTGTTGTTAAAGATGAAAGTTATTTAGATGTAGAACAAGATCAGATTACCATGACCATGGTATTTGTTTATCACTGATATATCTATATATTACTTACAGTCTAGGGCGGTATATGCGTCTCTTGGATAACGTTATCTTTATTCTTATCTTGTTTATGTTATTTCTGAATAAACATCAAATATTGGATTCACTCCTCCATATTTAACATTTATTCTGGCATGTTGGGTGTGAAGATACAATAAAATATTGTCTAAAATAAAAGGTAGAAACAAATTATTGAAAATCGACCCAAAGTGGTTTTGTTCAGCTGGGAAATATGTCATTCTTTGCGGATTTCACGATGTAGTTTTCTGTGATAATAAAATCGGAGTGAAGATGGGTATTGAGATGATCTCTCCGGCGGGACGATTTACCCAATACTACCCAGTACTACCCAATACCACTCCAATATCACCACATACTACCCAATACTACAACATAATGGTACCAAATGAAAATATTACTTGATCTTTTTCAAAAATAGTGAGATATATCGTGGGAAATGTACTTCAAATGTGATTACCGATGTCTGGCTGTTCCATTTGCCTCCCTATATCACCCAAATCAAGCAAATAATAAGCCAATACTACCAAATACTTATCAAATACTACCACATACTACCCAATATTATAAAATACAAACCTAATATCTAGCAGCACATCAGCATAATAATTGCAACGAATATTCGATAATTTACAGAAAATTGAAATATTTACGCAGTTATCTCCCTTTACAACTGAGATTTTAGATTGCTACTCAAATTAATCATCCTATTGAGCTTTGCAGTTTGTTTCCAAGACGACGAAGTTAAAATAAGGAAAACAGGTTATTATATATACCCACAGGTGACGATGTTGCGGCGATGTCATTATCACCGGTCTCCAGTTTCCTTCCACAATGTGTAATGCTCTACTCGTATATACATTCAACCTGACTTAACAATTAATCAACGGGATTAAGATTGTTGATTGGGTAATCAAGTTCTGTTTTATTTATATTATCAAAGAATTGTAACAGGCCGCAAATGATAGTTTTGATGAACTGAGAAGTGTCGCGTCAAGAATTACACACTGGAAAGAAACATGTGCAATTTCGTTAATTTTAAAATAAAACATCTTGATATGAAAAAATGAATATAAACATTATGCAATTGTTTTGTTAAAGTATTAATTTTAAAATAGATACAAACAATCGATACTAACT